AAGATAGTATAAAGCAGGGGTGGGCAACCGTGGCCCTCCAGCTGTTGTAGAACTATAAGTCCCATGAGGCATTACCAAACTGACAGTTACAAGCATGCCTCCCAAAGGCAGAGGCATGATGGGACTTGTAGTTCACCAACAGCTGGAGAGCCACAGTTGCCCACCCCTGATATAAAGGGATTATTAAATAAACATGGTTTAAGTTTGTCAAGATTTCCAGTAAATCAGTGGAAAGCCTGATATCATTCCAAGCTGGTACATTAATCACTACTTTGTCCTCAGTTTTCCCCCTAGAGAATGTACTGTATGTTTACAAGAGGGCGTAGTGATAGAAAGATGCTGAATGCATTGGGGAAACAGCATAAAAAAGGCCAGTTCTAGTTCATTACAAAAATGCCCCCGGTCCTTTTGTGTAAATCGTATTTAAATCTTTCAATACTGAAAATATAGCATAGGTATACATACTGTATAAACCTGTTTTGAAAATCTGAATTTGAATGGTGATATAGGAAGCACAAAGGAGAGGGCAGGTTATACAGGGCAGGTTGTAAAGCCTAAGGTTGAACATCATACACGAGTCCTTTTTTTTTTTTCATTCAACCAGTAGGTTGAACAAAAGAAAATATCTCGATTCCACCATCCACACACTCGATGTGGATGGGGGAATCCCTCCCACTGTACTATTGTATTCCAACAGTGTGCTATAGCTGGTGGCACTGATCAAGAGAAACTTTTCAAACAGGCTGGTTGTACAGAAGTCACACCATATGCACCAGAAGATTATGGCAGTTTTGGTGGGGTGGGGGGAACAGGGAAGGAGGAGGATATTAACTGATAGAAAGAATCAGCACAAGGGACACATCCTACTAAATGCAAGGTATGTCCCCGGTACTGATTTAAATTTTAGCTACACTTAGGCTTTAAGAAGTATTATTTTAGTATCCCTGTAAGGTGCTGTCTCGAGTCTGCCCACATTCCGTTACAGAAATCTGATTTAAGTAAATTGAAAACTTTCTAAATCAGCACACCTGTAGTTTTCACCTAAAACCATTAAAGTATAACCTTAGGCGAAACGTTTTATCGATTTAGAAGTAGACTGAATGTCTAACAATTCACCACTCTAATCTTTTTGCTGCCTGTATACTTGTTAATGATCTAATCAGACCCATGACAACTGTCTAACTGTGGATTTCCCTAACATTGAAATGACATCCTCGCGTTTCCTTTTGAGTCAACAGGACAGGACGTAAAGGAAAAAGTAAACAAAAATCTCCCTAATAAGACAGATATGGGAGAAAAAAAGAGAACCTCATAGCAGTTTTAACCTTTTCCCTACTCTGTCTGCCTAAATGAAAACAGTTTTGGCTTTAGCTATACTAACACAAGTACTGTATATGTGAACCCTCACCTTGTAAAACAACTCGTTCAGTTTAAAATAGAGATGCAAGGCAAAACGTGTCATTATGTGTATACATATATACAAAACTGACCATGCCAGGAAGGATGTGCTCCCATGCCTAGTGTGATCTGTTTGAAATAGGAAAGCAGGGGGACTGGCAGGATCACCAGGTATTTCACACAAAGGAAGCAATACAAAAATAGTATGCTTTTTAACAAAAGTACATGGTACAACAAACACATCAGGAATATGAAATGTAAGGGGTAACAAACAGTTTAAGGGACCATTCACCTGCATCTGTGCGTGTTTCCAGCCCTGCAGGTATGCGATCTGCTGTAGAAGGTGAAACAGGAAGGCGCTTCTAAGTGCAGTATTCCAGGTCAATTTTAATAAAAAGCTGTTAAAAACGCTTACAATTTAATAGTACCAACAAGCTCTAATTGGTCTTGAAGAAGGAGCTCTGCTCATGCTCCAAAACACATCACCAATCCATGCTTACATCACAGGACAGCATGCGTTCCAGCATGTGCTCCAGCAGTCCGAACAGAGCGGAGGCCATCTTTAACACCTCTCCTCAAGCAACCCCTGCAGCTGCTGGCTGGCACAGCGGCTCCATCGCTTAGAGGACAGAGCCCTGCTACTGACGGATTACATTAGAGCCTGTTTGTACTACTACATTGTAAGTGTTTTTAACCGCTTTTTATTAAAGTTGACCTGGAATACTGCACTTAGAAGCACCTTACTGTTTCACCTTCTTCTGCTCAGAGTTTGTGCTGCTCAGTACCGGTTTCCCTACAACCATCCATCATCAGCTGCCATACTTCCACAGCATCATCCACCGATGCGCCCTGCTACCTACCTTATGCGATCTGCTGTGAGTGTCAATGTCATCCTAATGAAACCCCAAAAACACAAAGTGCTAAACCAGCACTAAAACCAACATAATATGCAAGGGGCATTTAGGATGCACAAATAAAATAAGAATATGTTTTATTCCATTTTAAAATTGTCATGTGAAATCGGCATAGAGCAACCACCCCTGTTCCCTGATCCATATACACATGATCTTGAAAACAGCCCTCAACTTTTAGTGAATCTTCAGGTCAATAAAATATCCATTCTTATTTGAACATAAATATTTGTCTCTGTCCCTTGTTAAACATAAATATTTGTATGAATTTTTTTTTAATCGGTTCTAACACGTGCGCATAAATGTCTGAGAGTCACACTGAGGCATACTGACAGGTTCTTGAATAGTCTACACTTGTAGTAGCACTACACTTGAAAGAGTACTGTTAGGATGTGTGCAATGGGGTTATTCCATCACAAAATGGATGGAAGAGAATCTGAAAAGAATTTGTTACTTTACTGATAAATTTGTTATTAACAACACTTGCCTTTTCAGTTCCATTCCCATCCAATTTTTATTCCCATTTTCTACAAAAAGTTTATTTTGTCCGAGCATTGCACATACCTACAAGGTGAGAAAAATTGCTGCATTCTATAGACAACAGTATAAAAAAACTGGAAGATTGAAACAGCACAGAAGTAAATGAAAGTTCAAATTGTAACATTGAAAAATGAGCTAAATCTCACTGATTCTGCAGTTTTTTCTAAAACTGAAGTTTAATATATATACCGGTATATACAATGCATTCATTTTATATTTATATATTCAGACCCCCTTCACTTTTTTCAATTTTGTTATGTTGCAGCCTGATAATAGTTGTTTAAATTAATTTTTTTCTCAATAATCTACACTCAGTACCCCATCATGACAAAGTTAAAACTTTGAGTTTAAAAGAGTTTTAGAAATGTCTGTGAATTTATTAAAAATAAAAAAAAACTGAAATATTGCATTGACATAAGTATTTGCAACAACACTTGAAATTTAGCTCAGGTGCCTCCCAATTCTCTTGATTGTTGCTGAGATGTTTCTACACCTTGATTGGAGTCCACATGCAGTAAATTAAATTGATTGGACATGATTTGGAAAGGCACACACTATAAAAGGCCTCAAAGCTGACAATGCATACTGTATCAACGCAAAAGCCATGAGGTCAAAGAAACTGCCTGCAGAGCTCAGAGACAAGATTATTGCAAGGCACAGATCAGTGGAAGACTACAAAAAAAATTCTGCTGCATTGAATGTTCCCAAGAGTATAGTGACCTCCATAATTCTCAAATGGAAGAAGTTTGGCATAATCAGGACTCTTCCAAGAGATGGTCGCCCAGCCAAACTGAGTAATAGGGAGAGAAGGGCCTTAGTAAGAGAGGTGACCAAGAACCCGATAGTCACTCTGACTGAGCTCCAGAGATCCTGTGTGGAGATGGGAAAAAGTACCAGAAGGACAACCATCATCGCATCCCTCCCTTCATGGCAGAGTGGCTAGAAGGAAGTCTACAAAACACATGGAAGCCCGCTTGGAGTTTGCAAAAAAGCCTTCGCCCCTGACTGCTCAGTTTAGCTGGGCAACCAGCTCTTGGAAGAGTCTTGGTTGTGCCAAACATCTTCCATCCTCTTTCATCATACACTAAGGACTGAAAATACCAAGAGCAGGTCACACCATTTAGTATCTTCATCAACATTCTCTTTATTGAGCTGAAAAAAGAGCTGAAAGGAAGCTGACCAGGTAGTATCTGAATCTGGTAGAAAATTATAGTAGAGATTGCAGTAGCTATGGAGGCTTTAAATAATAACTAATCCCTATTTTGGCTTTAAAAAAAAAACAACAGAAAAGCTGCTCAATTTATTTTTCAATATAGAAAGACAATTCAATTTTAATTGATGTTATTGTTCATTTATAGATCTGCTGCGTGTAGAACTTTCTTTCAAATAACCCATAAAAAAATTGCTAAAGTCTACCAAAAGTAACAAACACCCAGACTGATTTGGACAGGTTTTATTTCATAGATTCTGCAAGCAAAACTGATTGGATACAAAAAAATGTTTGATATCATTTAACCATCCACTCAAGCGAAGGAAAACTGCACATATGCACCAAATACTATTCTTTCAACAGTGTAATAGTTCTATTAAGACCGAATCTCACAGACATAAGTTAAAATAAAATAAAAAAAAATAAAAACAAAAATATAATTTCTGGCAAGTGATTAAATAATCTTCTGTGAGTTCTCTAAAAGTAAACTGCATCAATAAATGAAGAGGGCCTCATTATGTTCAAGTGATTGGAGATTGTGTAGTGTTTTTTAAGCTTGTATGTATGTTAAACATTTTGCACTATTATAAATAGTTATGAGGTATTCTTAATTTTTATCTAATAAAGCAGTGTTTGGCATATTGAAATTCCCTCTGAAATGAAGTTATAAATACATTCAGCAACCGCTTAGTTTGTTTTCCTCACGCAAGTGTGTCTGTTAGTTTCATTTACTGTCCCTCAAGCATTTCCAAACTATAACACAAATTTCAATAAAAATATGTGTAAAAAAACAAAGACAAAGACAAAACACACATTTAAGGCCATCTGCAGGGTTAAAATCAAATTCTCGCATTATTCCACAATAATCTACATGATATTTTACATCTTATAAACTTAAATAGGCAATGCACAATTAAAGACTTTCTCCAAAGTTTATCACCCTATCTTTTTGTTGTCTTTGTTGTTGCTAATTTGCTCAAAGGTGACCGTCGCTGAGGAGTGGGAATTTTGGAAGGTTTGCCCGTTGAAAGCCGTGAACTTGATCGTGGAGAGGGTCTGCTATCATGAACAGCCTCAGACATGTCAGAACACACAGACTGGATTTCAGAGATGTCAAAGTCAGAGGCATCACTTCCTCGCCGGCTACTCGACCTGCTCCCAGCCTTGCTACCAGCTCGACTTGTAGTTTTCCGAAAATCTGTTGTAAAAGAGTGCAGTTACAATCCTAAATCAACAAAGATCAAATGTACAGTTGCATTATTCACTGTGATTTACAGTCAGTGACAGATTTTGTAGGGATTAGCAAAAATAAGAATTATTAAAATATCAGTGAAAATTTTGGCAATCAATGTAGAAGATGAAATGAAAGTGTTTTTTGGTGGTTTTTAAGGACTCAAATGGTTCTTGTGGCTTACAGCGGCTCTCTCCCATAGACACACAGACATGGCTCGGCAGCGAGCATGTACTAATGCCCCCAGGGCAAGCGGCTTGTTCTGGGGGCACTCGACAGGAGGGAGGGGCCAGCGGAGGACCCAAGAAGAGAAGGATCCGGGCTTCTCTAAGTAAAACCACTGCACTGAGCAGGTAAGTATAATGTGCTTATTATTTTAAAGAAAACCACTGAAACTTAAAAACCACTTTAAAGAAGCACCTTTAAACTACCCTGGTCCTGTCCTTGTGCCAAAAAAAGTAATCTAACCCAAACCCTAGCACTAATTCCAATGGTACCTCTAACCCTAACACTAATTCCAACAGTAATCCTAACCCTTTGTTCTTAAGCAAAGTCAAGTGATCATTGACACTGTTTATCAAAAAAGGCATGTCACACGGTGTCTCACAACAAGGAGAGTGGTTTAAAAAAATTATATTCAAGCGTGTATTGTTAACTCAAAAAAGGACCTTCTATTGCTCTCAGCCTCATCCAAATCTCTGCATTCCTTTTTTCCTGCTATGATATACCTTCCTGTTAGAGGGTGGCTACATTCGTCCTCCATGGTCCCATGGTGTATGTAGGAACATAGCCACCCTCTTTTGCCCATTTTACCCATTAGGTGGTAGATGCATATAGATTACTTTTATGTTATAGAATATTTTAAATTTTTATGAATATTGGTTAGTGTCACCTTACAGTGGTTGTAAAGCCAAAATGTTGCTAATGAGCCACCTGAGCAAGGTTGTATGTGTTCATAGACACACACAGCGTAGTTTGACCAAGCTCCCCACTTCCTCCTCACTGGAGTTGACTGACATCAGCAGGAGCCTATGGCTCAACCTGCTCTCAGTGTGTCCTGTGACAGGAAGAGAGAACAGTGGTGCTGCAGAAGGGGCGAGGATGCAAGTAAGTGTTTAGGGATTTTGGGGGGGGAGACAAATAGTATGGAATTTTTTCCATGAATGCATAGAATGCATTAAGTTAAAAAAAAGCTTTTTTTTTTAACTTTAGAACCACTAATACTCTTATGCAACAATGCACGGTGTAAATAATGGCAAAGGCAAAATCAAATTTGGTGTAACAGCTCACTCAAGCATGTGTCTATTTTTTTTCCTTTTTTTTTGTTCTCTCTTATATAATATAAATCATATTCACGTTTTTCCAAGTTAAATATACAAACTGTACAGAGAAAAAGTCATAGCCTGGTCAATAAAAACTTGAGCAAGGAACATTGGATAAGAAAAGGTATTGATATTCAATGCATCCAATTTAAGTAGATGCGCCACAAAACTGAGCAATGAAACCTGAAAACACAATGAAAATATGTATAAGTACGTTCACCTTCAGAGAAATCCACACATGAAAACAATCAGGAACCTGGAGTTATATGTCTATCATTGCCTTGCCCCTTCCACCACCTCCTCCTCCCAATTGGTCAGCAAGGGCACTCATCACAAATCATAACAGAGCTAATAACAAGATATGATAGGTTGGAGGGTTGAGGCTAAGATCAACTTTTACTGAAAGAGCCAAAATATATTATCATTATAATGTGGTTTTCACTGAAGCTCTTCTCATGCACCTTTTCAGTATATGCTCAGCTTAAATGGACATATTGGTGACAGGTTTAGTTTAAAATGTAACTGCTTTTTTTTAATTTTAATATTTAAATTTCCTAGAAATAAAAGTTAAACTGTTCCAGTGATCATAACTATTTTGATGATTTGTATACTCATAAATTAGCTTTCCTCAAGCTAAATAAAGTATATCTTTTGATGCAAAGTAATTTGGGTGTAAGTAATGTTTAAATGTCTTACCTGCAAACTGTGTCCTGACTTTGGTGGATGCTGCTGTTAATAAGCTACTTTCTTCTGCTGAGTGAAATCCTTTCCCTGAAAGATATCCTGGAAGCCTAAGCTTACTTCCTTGAATCGGGGTTCCCTGTGTTAGATAAACAAGACAAAACGTAAGCACAAACTCCAACATGCATTTCAGAGTAACTGCTGTGTGTAGAAAAAAATATTGTCTGATAACATATAGGATTGATTTATTAAAGGAGTAGATCATTTTAAATGAATTTTCACTTTACAAAGTGAATTTAACTTTGCAAATGAGGTGAAGTTGTGTTGGCTTTAATCATCCAATAAGGTGCAGAAAAAAATCCTGCTTTTTAATATATTCCTTGGGCATGGTTAGGTATTGGTGTAAAGGGAATGTTGGCTTTGTTTCACTCCATCCACTAAGCTAAGTGAAAATACTCTCCTTTAGTAGAGATCATAAAGTGTATCATTCTTCTCATTTACGCAAACCATAAAAAAACAATGATTGTGCTCTAGTATGAGTTTGAGACACAAGAAGAAGCTGGAGGAAATCTCTCTAAAGTTTTTTAGGTGATCCCTGAAAACTCCTCTTCAGAAACGCCTATCCCACATCCACCTACTGTAACTACTGTATTTCCACTTTCTCCATCAGCTCACCACCCAGTTATTACCTTTTGTAGCACTTGATTCTCTCTTTTAGATTGTAAGCTTGTAACGAGCAGGACCCACTGATTCTTACTGTATTAAATTGTATTGTAACTGTACTGTCTGACCTTATGTTGTAAAGCGCTGTGCAAATTGCTGGTGCTATATACTTCCTGAATAATAATAATAATAATAAAAAAGTATGGACAATATTCTTTTTGAAAGCTGTAACCAAAACAAGTCCCCCCCCCCCCCCCCCCCCCCCCCCCCCCCGAATATTTCCAGAGACAGTTTAAAATTTTACAATTTACCTAATTTTTATTCTCAGTGACGATGGTCAACAGATTAAATAGGAAAGGCAAATCTTCAAGAGTTTTAACCCTTCTCCACTTTATTCAATGCTAAAAGATTACACTTTAAGACGTGAAAATTGCCTGGAATTGACCCCTTGCTGTACTATACTGCTAATTTGTGTCCTCCATTTGATTAATCCTTGGTGTTCCCCAGTTTTTTTTCATTGTTACTATGGACTTATCTCCTTGCTGCATCATATTTCTGGACATAAACTCTTAGCCCACTACGACTAAGCTCAATCATTGTGAAATGTGTCACAGGGGCATGGCCACGATTTGATGACTGTAGCTGAAGCTAATTTTGCTATTGTGATGGTTTCATGGAGTGAGACATGCTCCTAGAGAGGCTGGCACCCACTGTGGGAGATAACCTGACAGGAGGACAAATGGACCTATACCCTATACCTGTACCACCTGTACCATAATGCTGCCTTGTGCTCTCCACTGCTGCACACCTTGTGGACCAACCTTTTCCCATGGTAATAATAAAACTCCCTGTATACTTCATCTCTCAAAAAGAATCTTTGAGCAAAAGGTCCTGTTTTTCTGTCAGACCCATACCTCTGTCACAGGATAACAAAAATACATTTTCTAAAACCATGGTTTATATACAAATATAATAATATTACAAAAATATGCCATAAACCCCATAATCTCAGAAATAACTGAAACATATAACATAGAATAACAAGTGAACCATGCTTAATGAAGTAAGACAGAAGAGGAAATATTAGTTTCTAAATTGAATTGTAAGGACACAAATCAAATAAATGCCTAGTCATATTAAATGGACAGAGAGAAGATATTGAACTGTAATATTATAAAGTAGGATGTGGGGAGAGATAACAGATGTCATACTGAAGATGACAATCAGCCAGTGTGCACAGAAGGGTTTTCAGTGAAGTAGTGACAGTAGTTAGTGAGCTGGTTTAGCAGTTGTGGCTGGTAGAGATTATGCAACTGGATTCTACGTGTGTACTATACCTCTTCAGATGAGAGTCTGTACTCAGGGGGCTCAGGACTCTTACAAGGAGTCGATGTTTTGCTGTTTGTCAGCCAAGGTTTACCATAATTGCGTGTTATATGGAGAGGTGTCTGTGTGAAACAATGGCAACGCAGTTTAAAAAAATGTGCAGTGATGGAATTATAAAATCCACAAGGAAGGGTGTTTTTATTAAATAAAAGTCAGGCCTGCATCTCCTTCAATAACTTTAAAAATACAAACCAGTATATCATTCAAAATAGGTAAAAGTAATCTAAATGCAATAAAAGGTACAAGAGAAAGAATGTTCCAAGGATCCAAAAAATAATGGACATATACTGCTTCAGAAAATATGACTTATTACTTGTTACTTTGTAATACGTAATTATGCCCTGCAGCACTTAGTTCTTTTCAAACAGTCCGTTCTTTTCCACCTAAAAAAAAGCACAGCACCAATTTCATTTTCTGCTTGCTACAGCAACTCTGAAGACATGGAACCTATATATAATTATGGGATTAATTTACTAAAATTGGAGAGTGCAAACTCTGGTGCAATTCTGCATAGAAACCAATCAGCTTCCAGGTTTATTTGTCAGAGCTTAACTGAACAAGCTGAAGTTAGAAGCTGATTGGCTACCATGCACGGCTGCACCAGATTTTGCACTCTCCATGTTTAGTAAAGCTATGTGTGTGGGATAGATGGCTATCTTCCCCCAATACCTAGCTGGCTTCACGAGACGGGTTGTTGGGAGAGGGGTCTTCCATGTCTCTCCCCCAAACCCGTCCTTCTATAATTTTTTCTCAGGCTCCTGGTACTTTGATATTCACACTCCTGTTGTCTGACCTGTTTTGCTGTTCATGCATTGCTCGTTGTTCTACTCACCCCCTGGACATGTACCCAAATTGTGACCTGGGTAATAATTTGTGATGTACTATATGTTCTTGATGTACCATGCTGATTGTGCTTTTTTTTTTACCCTGTATTGGGTTTATTTTGTATATGTTTTATGTCCTATCTCTGCTTTTTCCTTTCAATATAGTTTTATTTTCAATGTTTAAAAAAAAAAAAAAAAAAAAGCTATGTGCATGTATATATTAACTCACCGGCCACTTTATTAGGTACACCTTGATAATGCCAAGAAAATATCCCCCACACCATCCCACCACCACAAGCCTGAACCGTTGATACAAGGCAGGATGGATCCATGTTTTCATGTTGTTTACGCCAAATTCTTACCATACTATCTAAATGTCGCAGTCTGCCCATTCTCCTCTGACCTCTGACATCAACATGGTATTTTCGTCCACACAACAGCTGCTCACTTTTTCACTTTTTTGGAACATTCTATGTAACTCTTAGAGATGGTTGTGTGTGAAAATCCTAGTAGATCAGCAGTTTATGAAATACCCAGACCAGCCTGTCTGGCACCAACAACCATGCCACGTTCAAAGTCACTTAAATCCTCTTTCTTCCACATTCTGATGCTCGGTTTGAACTTCAGAAAGACGTCTTCACCACATCTACATGCCTAAATGCATTGAGTTGCTGCCATGTGATTGGCTGATTAGCATTCTGTGTTACCAAGCAATTGAATAGGTGCATCTAATAAAGTGGCTGGTGAGTGTGTGTATGTATATTTATATGTATATGTATATATATATATATATATTATTATTATTATTATTATACAGTATTTATAAAGCGCCAATAGTTCACTCAGCGCTGTACATTACAAAGGGGGACAGAACATGTGACAGAACAATACCAATACAATGCAAAACATGAGGGGATCGAGGGCCCTGCTCTTTCGAGCTTACAATCTAGGAGGATGGGATAGTGGTACAGGAGGAGATAGCTGTGGGGGATGGAGTGGTAGGAAGAGTGGAGGAGGTCAGCAAGTTAGCAAGGGGTGAGGTAGGCTTCCCTGAAGAGATGGGTTTTCAGGGTGCGCCTAAAGGAGAGGAGAGTAGGTGATAATCTGATGGGTTGGGGCAGGGAGTTCCAGAGGATGGGTGACACCCTGGAGAAGTCCTGGAGGCGGGCATGGGAGGAGGAGACCAGGGAACTAGAGAGAAGGAGGTCTTGTGAGGAGCGGAGTGTGCGTGCTGGGCGGTACTTGGATATTAGGTCAGTGATGTAGTTCGGGGCAGTATGGTGGACAGCTTTGTACGTCAGTGTTAGGATTTTAAATTTGATCCGTTGCGCAATCGGAAGCCAGTGGAGGGATTGGCAGAGGGGGGTGGCGGAAATGGAGCGGTTGGAAAGGTGAATGAGTCTGGCAGCCGTATTCAAGATCAACTGAAGCGGGGATAGCCAGCGGCGAGGCACCAGTGAGGAGGGAGTTGCAGTAGTCGAGTCGTGATATGATGAGGGAGTGGATGAGCTGTTTAGTGGTTTCTGGGGTTAGGAACGTGCGGATTTTGGCGATGTTGCGGAGGTGGAGTCTGCACGAGTTTGTTAAAGATTGGACTTGGGGCTGGAAGGATAGGTTGGAGTCCAGAATGACACCAAGTACTCTGGCCTGCAGAGCGGGTTTGATATTGACGTTGTTGGATGTGATGTAGAAGTCAATGGGGGGTGGGGTTCGGGCTGGGGGGAAGACAAGGAGCTCGGTTTTGGAGAGATTCAGTTTAAGGAAGTGGAGCGACATCCAATCTGATATGTCGCTCAGTAGGTGTGTGATTTGGGCAGAGACCGAAGGGGTGAGGTGGGGGGTTGAGAGATAGATTTGTGTGTCGTCGGCATAGAGGTGGTAGTTGAAGCCGTGAGAGTGTATGAGTTGGCCAAGGGAGGAGGTGTAGATGGAGAAGAGAAGGGGCCCAAGGACAGAGCCTTGAGGGACCCCAACAGAGAGGGGGAGTGAGGGGGAGGTGGTAGCATTATAGGTAACGCTGAAAGAGCGTTGTGACAGGTAGGATGAGAGCCAGGAGAGAGCAGAATCTCTGAGGCCGAGGGAGTGTAGTATTTTGAGGAGGAGGGGGTGGTCAACTGTGTCGAAGGCCGCAGAGAGGTCAAGGAGTAGGAGCACTGAATAGTGGCCATTAGCTTTGGCGGTTAGAAGGTCGTTGGAGAGTTTGAGTAAGGCGGTTTCGGTGGAGTGTAGGGGGCGGAAGCCAGACTGTAGGGGATCGAGGAGGTTGTTGTCGTTGAGGTGAGAGCATAGGCGGGTGTAGACGAGACGCTCGAGGAGTTTAGATGTAAGTGGGAGCAGGGAGATGGGTCTGAGGTTGTTCGGGTCATTGGGGTCCAGGGAGGGCTTTTTAAGTATGGGGGTGATGTGTGCATCACACTGAACACTGAATTGGACTAGTTTAAGACTAAAGTAAGGCTACTACTCTGCATGATGGTAGAACCTAAAGATGGATTTAAACCTAATAATCTTCATTCTGTAACTTTTGTAAATATACAGTTTAACGTGACATTAAACATTTTATAATAGTTGTATTAGGCTATATTATTCTAGGTAGTTTCAAAAAGATTGCAATAATGTCAATCTGGGTAAGGTAACTTCTTCCATTGAATGTGCAATATCTGAAACCAAAATAATGATCTAGTTATGAACCTCCTAAATTATAAATCTATAGAACATGGATAAGCTTTTTCCACCCTCCCATGCATTTTGATTTGTCATTAAAGCATAGACCTTTAACCATGAGCATACCTTGGGTGTGCTGGTACCAGTGACTTGTGATGGACAAGCCTGGATATTTGGGCTTGAATTAGACCTATTTGGTGATGCCCCTCTTGAAGACGGTCTAGACCTACGGCCCTTTGGTCGGAAAGGTGTCATGCTTTGACTAATTCCCTCTGGTAACATAAACTTTTCCCGAAGCTCTACATTTGTCCTTCCTTTGGCTGAAACAAAATAAAACAATATAACCACAAGGAAACACAGCTGACATGACCATAGTGATAATTATAGTTTATCATAAATACAAAATAAATCAAAGTTAACAGTATACATTTTACATTCTATCTATGTTATAGAAATATATTTTCCCTTATGCAGGGATAAATGTACAGACAGATAGGTTCCGTTTTAATTTTTAAAGGAATATTATGCAATTGCTGCAAACTAGACTTTAATATAATTTTTGGTGTGGTCTTTGATATACCATGATTGAAGGTTTGGAAACACAGGTACAACTGTCATCTGTCATGCTGTGATTAATGCTCCCTGGAATAATTTTCAGCATTCCTAAATATGACAGCTTGCTCTATTCCAAAAGCTATTTCCATTAGTCTGGATTTATAATATTTTTAAAAAAGGCATTTAAAAAGGGTTATTACATATTTGCAATGAAAATAAATTTATAAAATTAGAGCTGCCTGACCTCCTATTCAATAAAGTGCATTAAAACATTGAGGAAGGGTTAACAGCTGCACATTTAACAATGGAATCAATGACCACAACATAACAGCCATTCAACTGCAATAAAACATTGAAGGGGATGCAAGAGCTTGAGAGGAAAGGGACTTTAATAGAGTATTTACATCAACACACATCTATCCTTTATTTCCTGCTATTCGGTTATGTGATGAGCACATGACATGGACAAACAGAAATGTGGAAATGCCTCATCGGAGGCATCTTGAAGTGTTAACCTCAAAGGCCCTCTTAACATTAACTGTTAATGTGCATTTGAGGCATGGTTTAATGCTAGGAAAACTGACCAAAAATACATGATGAGCTCCATGCTCCAATCTACTGTTGGAATCTCTTCATTCTCTTCAGGTGGTTTCAGCACCTGTGACTATATCAGCATGGATCTTACTATGCTTTTTGTGTGCAGTATCCCCACCATTAAACTGTATCAAAATGTCACTTTTGTATACGGTACTTTCAACTGACAAGATGAGACTGTTCCCTTTCTACATACACACAACAAAGCAAGAAAAAAAAATATGTATAATTGACTGCATGTTTTCCTTTGCACACCTCCACACACATGCATGTCAACACACATGTTATATATAGCATACCAAGAAACCCAAGACAGTGTCAAGCAGTGTGTCTGGTTACCACCTCTTATACACACTCTTCCAACGTATGCCCCTTACTATTAGGTACGGGAGGCCATCCATTATTATAACAGACACAAAATATAGTGCATGAGGAGGTAGAGTGTGTGTCAGAGCCAGAGACATAAAACCTTGCTTGCTACTGGCGTAACACAGCATTTTGGGTTTTGGAGAAGGGAGGCAGGACACTAAACATGAGATCCAGATTATAATACATTAGGTGTCAGTTTTCTTTTTGTGTTTTGAACTCACAGGTTTTACTTTAAACATAAGGGACAGGAAAGATATATATCCCCATTTAAACCTTCACTGATACCCATTTTACCAGCTCAGTGATGGTTCCAAAGGAAAAGAAAACTGCTTCACCTTAAGGAGAAGAATTTACAAAATGACCTTTTACTAATCAAATCTTGCAATTTTCAGCAGAAAATTGAGATATTTTTGTTGTAATTTTCACAGCCTGGAAAAATGTCCTTGTGACCTAGCCTGCATGATTTATGGTGTTCTCTTAGTCCAGACACTTTGGTTTGCTACAGTTCTTCTGGGGTTGGTATGACACGAAAAATGGTTTTAATGTAAACACGCCTGGATAATTTAGAATGAGTCTACTTTCCTACATTCTAGTTAGAAGTCCTAAATTTAGAAAGAAGAGTGCTGTGCTTGACATTGCCAAAAACATAAGTTTTAAATAAACACAGAATTTATTCTAAGAACCAAGACTTGAGTGTCTTGGCATGAAGATCCTTAGTTCTTTTGCTTACTAGTTCTTAATGCAGATTAAAAACAAAAACTCTGCAAATTTATAACACATTCAACATTCCCAACTAACAAAGAAGGACAAGGGCTCATTCATTACAACTTTCCTATGCAAAAACATATGTCATATCAAACAGAAATCCCTGGCACAATATTGTAGACAGAGAGAATAGAGTGAGTGGTCAGAAAATAAATAAATAAATAAAATAACCACTGATCAGCAATTGGAAGTGAGTTTGTCACAACTGACCACAGGTACAAATACCACACCTGCATGGTTTATCCTATTAGAAAGTATGTTTCGATAAAATAAATTATTTTCCATGGAGATCTTTTTCCTACCCGTGAGGCTATGCTAAATGTTTCCAGCCAGAAAGTCATGATTTGACACTGTGCTGTATATACTAAACATAGGCAAAAATATACATCCATTAACAAAGATGGATATTTCTCACTGAAATAAACACAGCATGCAAAATGTGACAGTTTACTATATATGAGCACACATGATGGTTCTAATTATTTACCTCAATGTGCATGCTAACCACAGCAAAAATCTGAGCTTTAGGAGTCAGTGCCCAAGAATATAAAATAAAAAAAACAATAGACATGCACTACACACCAAAGAAAATGGTAGACTTAAAAAGATGACAAGTGAAAGAAAGAAAGAAGTGAGTGAAGATGTAGAGAAATGAAAGAGGGAGATATTTGCCAACCTATAAGAGGCTGAGTAGTAATTGAAGAGTTCGATTCGGAACGTAACATTTTACTTCCATGATGATGAACTAGGGAGAAATGACAGAATACCAGTCAAGGAAAACAAAGAAGGATATTTAGTAAGGAGAAGTAATAAAGGGTTGCTACAAGTAAACAAAATAAAACATAACAAAAAAAACAGAACTTCCAAATATACCCAAAAGGGAAGCATAGTAAATTTTAAAGAGGGGCATCACTTCAAATATGATATCCTGCCAGACACTAAAGACACAATACAACTGAGATTTTGTTGTATTTATGTATTTTATTTATTCTACATAGCAGTCAGGTTGCTTTCATGTACATTTTTTATACTAGATGACCTACATATATTTTTAGAATCTTTTCTGAAAAAAAAAAAGATTTAAACAAAACTGTCTGCTCTCTTACTGACAGTGAATACCATTTTTTCTCAAACTATCTGGAAAATGATGGTTGCAACTATATAATCATAGTTGCAACTCCGCTACATGCTACAATGACTGCAAAAAAAACAAAGATGTGCCACAGCAAAATATACTTTTAGGTGTAGGCCATATTTTTTAAATAGAAAACAGTCATGAGATTTTTAATATGGTTTTATAATAGCTGTTATATTTACAAAAGTCATCTATGTATAAAGAGAAACTCCTGGATGACAAGCTCTCTGATCTTACCTCGGGATCAGGTGTGTGCACCCATATGCTTTACAATTAGCCCCATGCTCAAATTCTAGTGAACTCAGAGTGAACATTTCCTTTGGCATTCAGGGCAAAGGTTTGAATAGCTTCCCCCTCCCCAACAGCAAGCACTCATGTTTCCTCTCTGCCTTGCTGCTCTCAATAGTCTTAAATAAGACCAGAGGCAAGCACCAAACTAACTTACTGCTCTTACAGGGCTAAAACTACTTCCCTAGCCCCATGTGTCAGCACTGAGCCAACCAAGAGATACCTAATACAGGTGTCCATTTATGACACAGAGAAATAGCTGCGATTCAACGGATCTCAGCTATTCTCTGGTCATTCACAGTTTATGACACTATGGAGATCATGACAGCCCTTCGCTGGAGATCTGTGTTCTCCCTCCAGATTCTCCAGCCCAGAGCTGGAGAATCAGAGGGACCGCAAACTAAGCAGAGATAATTTACCTCTGCTTAGTAAACTGATCTTTTACTGTAATCTCGCGAGATTATAGTAAAATCAGCCGTTTTCCAGAGTTTGTAGACCGTTCTCCAGCGTTTGGAGACCGTTCTCCCTTCGTTCGGAGAACTGCTTCATAAACTGCATTCTCAGGAGAACTGTGTTCTCCGAGAATGCCGGAGAACTGAGCAGCGATCTATTACCGCTGGTTCATAAATGGACACCACTGTTACAAAGGGGAAGTGAGCTTTATGCTCACCCATATCTGGAAATATGCCCGACATTTAAACCAAGCAGCAAAGGAGCCAATAAATGGTGAGAAGATGATAGTTGTAAGGGGCGGGAGCTAAATGAACCCTTTATTTCTCCCTGTATGTCCAAAGAAGGTTTACTTTAGACTACAAACCCCAGGGCAAACCACACAAACCAAAATATGGTGATGATCCCATTCCTATATGGTCAGTTTGCGTTATTATGCAACAATTCATTCCACGTAAAAAGAACAAGGGGCGGTGATTTATTAAACATTTCATCCTGGCCCGATAGCTCTACTGGCATTCAGGAGAACAAGCTATTATTGTCCTGCCCCACAGTAGTGCTTAGTAAGATACTGAAAATAAGTTTATATTCTACTCAGGGAGCAGTGAACTAGACTTTATTTATATGACTTCATTAAAATGAAAAGGTTGTTTTATCCTTTTTGATGTTAAATAAATCTGTGGTTTTAAAAAATGAATAGCAGCAAATTACTCTGAGAAAAGCAGATATCAACTACGGCTGTGGTTTTCTAATTGTTAGAAACAATTCTTAAACAATACATAACTTCCACAAAACACTGAGCTTACCTCTGCATGGATCATTTTTCACCAGGAATTCATCAAGTGCCATCCAACCTCCACCAACCCGAACCATCACAGTGCTCCTCAAAATACGGACAAGACGTAATTGTTGGGAGTCACCAAACTTGGAAGACACAATTGTAAAAAATGAATATCTGAACTGGAAAATAAAATACTTGAACATGCCTAATACGTGATTGACATGTGAAGATATATAGTAGAAGTGGTATTATCTTCAGTAATATTAGTTAACAAATTTAGGTAAATCTGTGTAAACGATTTTGAAACACCCATGCAGCACCAACTGAAGCATAGTGATTAAAGCAATGGGCAATTACGGCATGGAAGAGGGGGGGGTATAAGTAATGTTATGCAACCCATAATGCATCTGCTTCAAATACAACATTATGGCCAGTTACTGAATAAAATGCAAGAAATTGCAAACACACAACATGTAATGTGCCTGTAACCAACATACGCTGAATTAATATTTATAGGAGTGTACACAACTTTGCAGAACATTTACCTGTTCATAATTTGTATTCGGACTAAATGTGACTGCAAGCTGAAATCAGAATCTCAAACTCATGGCTACTATCAGTTTTAGCTTGGATAAATGGTTTTTGGAATTGGCATCTCAGAAAAGAAAATTTGAGGTGTTACATGTCCCACTTTCTGCAGGTTTCTGAGACATTAAACAAAACTTATGCAAGTAAATTAAAATTACAAATCAATGTATTTACATTGATCCAAAGCCACAACCTCTTGAGAAGAAAGACTGTTGATAATTTTGAACAATATGGACAGCATCATGATTTCTTTAAAATATGTTAATCCTCGGCCCATGCTGAGTATCAGCTAAGAAGAAGAGACCAAAGGTGACAACATGCCTTGACCCAATCCACATACAAAATATTGCTTTGTACGGACTAAGGAAATAGTGCAAGGACTGGTGCAGGGATCCACAAACCTGTGGGCATAGTAGTGGGCTATAACTGTTTCTTTTATTAAGGGTAAGGCTTATTTTATTTATATTTTATATTTAAAAAAATGTAAAATAATAGCATAGCATAAACACTTTCTCTGCTTTTGTTTTTTCTGGTATTTAAATCAGCAATGACAGCCGCTACCACAGGGCAATGTAGACCATATGCAATAGGGCTATGTCTCACCTCCCACCTAAGCTCAGTGTATACTGTATTACAAATACATTTAACACTACTGACCAATGCAGTGGTTCCATTACTCTGCATGTTCAGCAAAGTTTTTACAGCCTCCATTACTAATGATGCCTTATTAGTGCTGGGACCTCTCTGAAATCTGAGCAAGAAGTGCCTGCCTCAGGCTGGCCATCATTGTCAACTCTTTTTACCCAACTTGCATTTAACTTTTCACATTTAACTTTAACTGAAGTTCAAAATTTTTGTTTAAGTCAAAATTAAAGTATGTAAATGTTTGTAGACACACTGTAGCCATTGAGACAATCTTTCATTTTCTGAATTGCACTAATCAGGGAAAATGCTTAATGGTTAGTGATTTGTGAAGCTTTAGTTGGCACCTAGTACATTTTCGTGTATGTAGGATGGAGTCTTCAAAATCATATTATTTATTAATTATTGTTAAAATTAACTTAAAATGAACACAGTTTTACCACAGAAAGATGTTCCATGCAATCCCGGAGGCAGCAAATATTGCTATGATATACGGTAGATACATTATTTACAAATGATATAAAGAAGCAATAGCAACATTTGCCCAGAGATGTATTTAAAATGTTTTATCAAATAGTAGCTAAGCCCCTTCACCAGCAGAGAAATGGATTTCATAAAGGATTACAAGGTGGATGTGTAGGTTACGGTAAGGTGACGGTGATCATACATTGCAAGCTTTGATGATCAGTAACACACAGAAGAACATTTATGTTTTACTGGTTTATACCTGATTTCCCAGGAAAAAACTGATCGCAAAAGGAAAAATGGAAAGAAAATACAATTAGTGTATACGTATTATTGGATCATGAAAACTTAAACATACTACTAGAAGGTCTCATCATCTATGAAAAAAAATCCTTCCTTATTTGATAACTGCACAAACAGTAACAGTCACTATCTAAATTCACCATGATGACTTTAGCGCTACTGGGAACATTTAACCCTTTGGCTGCTGGGTCTGTACAGTGGGTTTGTATCTACAGCACTACTACACTGCTACCAGCTAGCCAGCTCCGTATGCGTATGGATCTGACATTCATCCTCCTGTTAAAAGCTCACGGTCACTTTTGTGACTCTAGAGGGGGGAAGGCTGTGTTCTGGTAAAAACAAGTGTTTTCCAACCCCCTTCCTTTCCTGAATGAATACAGTTAGTGAGTACCAATCGCTGTTCATTCATCACTGAAGCATAGTAAACTTTGTTTACTATGCTTCAGTTTATTAATGAGGAGCCTCTATGCAGAGACTTCATTTCATTCATATGCAATACAGCTGAGGCTGCAGAGAAAGGGGCTGAGAACTACGTCTTCATTCCCTTTCTCTGTCTCAAAAAAGAGACATCAGGGGTCTGTGTAGACCCCAGATATCTCACTAAAGCCCACCATACATATGAATAAATATTAACAATAAAATTGTAAAAAAATAAATAAAATTAAATTTAATAAAACATAGTAAGGCCTTGTTCACACAGGGCATACTACAGTGTACGTCCCCACACAGGGATGGACGGATGCAACCCTGTGCAGGCAGTCCCAATGATATCAATTAGGATGTAGCAAATGCACAGGCCAGCCATTGCTCCCAATCTGACATCCGTCTTGGTCCGGTTATGTTGTCATTTAGCAGGAATTTTGTAAGTTATGGTATGTTTGTGTCCGTCAATAATGATTGTAGTGTATTTTTAGTGAAAATAATGGTTTGATATACATTTGCGCAACTATTATGGGGCTTAAAAGATCAGTAGCACTTCTTATTCTACAGGTCATGTGCTTTTAGAAAACGTATGGTTTGGGGGGTCTATTACAAATTCTGAAAGCTGTACGTGAAAAATAACCTCCACATTTTTAGAAAAAAAAAATAAAAATTTACAAATATTTGTTATTTATTAACTCATTACAGTTTTAGCTTTTATATTTTGTAGGAATTTAACAGGGTGTTTGTAAGTTTTGCCATGTTTGTGTCTGTAAATAAAGGTTTTTGTGTATTTTTAGTGAAATTATAGTTTTGATATACATTTTCTTAAATATTACAGGGCCTATAAAAATCAGTACACCTTTTATTTTAAAAAATAAAAAAAATGGAAAATTTGCAAAAATGGCCTAGCCACCTGAGTTTAAAAGTGAAATGCAGGGACTGACAGCAAAAGGGTAACACTGCACACCAGAAAATGGGTAGTCTATAGATTAGAAACCAACCAGACATTTTTCATCTTTTGAATAATAACATAAAACATTAATAATGAAGTTGGTCAATCTTGTTTAAAATGATGAGAACCTGCATCCTTTTAAGCCTTTACTCATATTTAGGGAAGTTTAAAAACGACAGCATCTCCTGCACATGATGGATGCTTTACGTGCAACTACAACTATCCATGTGTTTACTGTGAAAAGTGTCTGAGCTATGTCTATGGACATGGATCAAATATTCAGCAATTAATAAATGAAGACCTGTAGCCCTCATTGGCAATGGCCACATAAAAAAAAAACCTGAAACTATACTAAAAGAAAGACAATATTTTGTTAACGTGCTCTTTTGCATTAAACGTTTATATCGACAGGAATAATTAGATCAGTGTAAAAGCTCTTCAAAGTATGTTGACAAGTAAAAATAATACCGAATCTTCCATTTACCTACCCTGTATTTGTTGTCTCCGATCTGTTCAACTTGGAATCGCTTGGCACACTTACATTTAGCTACTTGTCGAGTTACCTGTAACAGTAAGCCAATAATACTTTCACTGTTTAAATGATCTCAGGAAATAATGAACTTAAAGGAATGAACAGAAAATATGAACTGAAAAGAGCTGATAAATATAAAACATGAAAAATACCTCGTCTTCAATTTTGTCAGCATCAGTTACAGGTTTGTAAGCATCTTTGTTTGGGTGAAGGGCTGCTACAAACTCATAATAGTCAATGTAGCCATCACCATCACGATCAAAGATGTCAGCCACTGCACTCATCTCTAGACGGCTGGTAGGAAATTCTGCCAGACAAAATGAAACAGTAAATTAACTGTCTATGAAAAATAGGTAATTTTTTTCAATAGAATGAGGAAGCGATACAACTTTGTCCAGTATTAGTACTTGTTTGTGCTCACATTGGGAATTCCCCTTTTTTTTCTATCTTGGTGACAGAAAGGAAATAAGGAAATATCTTCCCAGTTGGGACATATGCAGCATTAAAAACCTGACACAAGTTCTAACTCTTCAACATTTAAAAATCACTTAAGCACTTGATTAAAGTCCTACAATGGATGTTCACATCTTGCATTTTAAAGAATGTCACACGTCTTTTCTTTTTTTTTTTACCCCACACTGCACACTTTTCTGTCCTGGTTATTTCAAAACTTATCAAAGTAGAACAAACTGTTACCTTTAGTACCACTTTTTACTCCCTTTTAGATTGTAAGCTCCACAATCAGGGCCCCAAAAATCAACTTGTATTGAAATGTTATTGTAACCAGGGGTGGACTGACCATTTGGAAACTTGGGCACTGCCCGAGGAACCGGGGTCAGTAGGGGGCCCATGAGATGCCCCTAGTGCCTTTTTCATAGGCTTTTTTGAGTTTGGGCAAGGACACAGGGGCCCCATGATCCCCTATTGCCCGGGGGCCCCATGAGTTGTCAGTCCGCCCTTGATTGTAACTCTTCTGTCTCCCTTTATCTTGTCAAGCATTGAAAAACTGTTGGTGCTATATAAATTCTGCATAACTTCACTGTTGTTCCCAGTTAAACTAATTTCCTTACTGCTGACATACAGTAGAATTTATTAATACTCTACTGTTTTTTTTTTTTGCTTTTTCATTGTTCCTTCAGTCAGATTTTTAAAAAGTCTCATTGGGAGTTCAAAAGATTCTTTCTTTTGAAGTCCCGATGAGACTTTTTAAAAATCTGACTGAAGGAACAATGAAAAAGCAAAAAAAAAACCATACTGAAATCTACGCACACTGTCAGTGATAGTTACCTCATCTACAACCTGTCCTCCTTAACCGAATAATCAATTACCAACCCTGCCCAGATCAAGGCGAAGAACAGAGAGAAATATAACACAAAATAATATTTGTCTCTTCCCTACTGCACAGAATCAAATAAAAAAATTGAAAAGCAAAAGAATTCAGGTACCTACTCAATCATTACCACTGTCTGTAATGCAAGATCAATAAGAAATAAGACAACTGGTATAGCCAATGTCAATGTATCCTGTGACCTGACATGCATCATAGAAACATGGCAATATGAAAATGCAGGAACCATTCTGAAAGCAGCAGTTCCAGTAAACACTTAATATTGCACTGCCCAAGAAAAGATCACAAGGGTGGGGGATTGCAAACTGCGTGAAATCAAAACGAAACCTTAGGACCCTCTGCTTGAGCCAACTCACTTATCTAAAAGTACCGTATGTGTTGATGTCAAAGAAACTGTGCTAATCTTCAAAGAGCTCTATCCAACCCAGGTCCAACAGACCCACTATTAGTATGCGTTAGCCACATTAGTCTAGTGGTTCAAAAAATTGTATAGTACACTCTCAATACAGGGATCTTTCCATACTAACTTAAGGAAGCCTTTATCAGGCAATTACTAAAAAAAGGTTTTCCTTGGATCCAAAGATCTTGGCCAACTACGGCTTAGTGTCAAAACTTTTTTTTTATTAAAGGTGAATGATAGGGTGTTGTTAACAGGCTAGAAGCCTAGCAGTCAAATAACAAAATCTCTGATAAACTTCCAGCTAGTTTCAGAAAAAAACAAAGTACAGAAACAACATTGGTCCACATATTGAATGACCTATTGATGGCCAGAGACAACAGAGAACACTCCACCCCTATTCTTCTTGATCTATCTTCTGCATTTGACACTGTGGACCATAACATATCACTGAATCTCTTAAAGCTGCACTGTGATCTAGAGGGTACAGTGATTAGATGGTTCAAAATCCTCTTATTAGGGAGATTACAAAATTTCACAGCACAAATTAACTCATTGTCTTAACTTCCATTACATTACAGGGTATATGGCAATGTTATTTGCCATATACAGTGGGGCAAAAAAGTATTTAGTCAGCCACCAATTGTGCAAGTTCTCCCACTTAAAAAGATGAGAGAGGCCTGTAATTGACATCATAGGTAGACCTCAACTATGAGAGACAAAATGAGAAAAAAAATCCAGACAATCATATTGGCTGGTTTGGAAAGAATTTATTTGCAAATTATGGTGGAAAATAAGTATTTGGTCAATATCAAAAGTTCATCTCAATACTTTGTTATATACCCTTTGTTGGCAATGACAGAGGTCAAACGTTTCCTGTAAGTCTTCACAAAGTTGGAACACACTGTTGCTGGTATGTTGGCCCATTCCTCCATGCAGATCTCCTCTAGAGCAGTGATGTTTTGGGGCTGTCGCTGGGCAACACGGACTTTCAACTCCCTCCAAAGGTTTTCTATGGGGTTGAGATCTGGAGACTGGCTAGGCCACTCCAGGACCTTGAAATGCTTCTTACGAAGCCACTCCTTCATTGCCTGGGTGGTATGTTTTGGATCATTTTCATGTTGGAAGACTCAGCCATGTTTCATCTTCAATGCCCTTGCTGATGGAAGGAGGTTTGCACTCAAAATCTTGCGATACATGGCCCCATTCCTTCTGTCCTGTACATGAATCAGTCGTCCTGGTCCCTTTGCGGAGAAACAGCCCCAAAGCATGATGTTGCCACCCCCTTGCTTCAAAGTAGGTATGGTGTTCTTTGGATGCAACTCAGCATTCTCTCTCCTCCAAACACAAAGGAGTTGTGTGTTTCTACCAAACAGTTCTATTTTGGTTTCATCTGACCATATGACATTCTCCCAATCCTCTTCTGGATCATCCAAATGCTCTCTAGCAAACTTCAGACAGGCCCGGCTTAAGCAGGGGGACACGTCTGGCACTGCAGGATCTGAGTCCCTGGCGGCATAGTGTGTTACTGATAGTAGCCTTTGTTACGTTGGTCCCAGCTCTCTGCAGGTCATTCACTAGGTCCCCCGTGTGGTCCTGGGATTTTTGCTCTCCGTTCTTGTGATCATTTTGACCCCACAGGGTGAGATCTTGCGTGGAGCCCCAGATCGAGGGAGATTATCAGTGGTCTTGTATGTCTTCCATTTTCTAATTATTGCTCCCACAGTTGATTTGTTCACACCAAGCTGCTTGCCTATTGCAGATTCAGTCTTCCCAGCCTGGTGCAGGTCTACAATTTTGTTTCTGGTGTCCTTTGACAGCTCTTTGATCTTCACCATAGTGGAGTTTGGAGTGTGACTGTTTGAGTTGTGGATAGGTGTCTTTTATACTGATAACAAGTTTAAACAGGTGCCATTGATACAGGTAATGAGTGCAGGACAGAGGAGCCTCTTAAAGAAGAAGGTACAGGTCTGTGAGAGCCAGAAATCTTGCTTGTTTGTAGGTGACCAAATACTTATTTTCCACCATAATTTGCAAATAAATTCTTTCCAAATCAGCCAATGTGATTGTCTGGATTTTTTTTTCTCATTTTGTCTCTCATAGTTGAGGTCTACCTATGATGCCAATTACAGGCCTCTCTCATCTTTTTAAGTGGGAGAACTTGCACAATTGGTGGCTGACTAAATACTTTTTTGCCCCACTGTACACAATGCCACTGGGAAATATCATCCAGCAGCATGGTCTTAGTTAAAATTGCTATATATATCACACACAACTCCACTGTCTTTCAAACCAGACACTGGTAACCCTGCAACCAAGATCAACTGGAGTCCTACTGGCATGCAACATTGGATGAACTGTAGCTGGCTGAAATGGAATCCAGACAAGGCAAAAGTACTAATTTGAGGACTGAGGATTAAATCAAAGTGACAGCAAAAACATCCACATGGTTTAACCTTGTTCTCAGACCATACACACAGCTTGAGCATTATTCTGGATATTAAAGTGATTGTAAAGGTTCTTGCAAAGAAAAAAATAACTACCATGTTATACTTACCTGCTCTGTGCAAGTTCACATGGTGTTGCTCAGCTAAGCACCTCCCTCCCTTCCCTTGTCACTGAATTTGATTGACTGCAGCAGAAGCCAATGGCTACCGCTGCTCTCACCGAGTCCAGTGAGAAGAGAGACAGAGCAGAGCAGCTGCTCTTGGTCACAGCGCTGGATTAAGATCAGGTAAGTATTTAGGGGGGGGGGGGGCTGGGTGGGAAACTGCACTTAAGAGGTTTTTTTACCTTAATGCAAGGAATGCATCCACTTTAACATATCAATAAAGCAACAGGTATTATCTGTTATTGAATTCTGCTTTCACCGTCTCAGGAATATTAGAATTAAAATGAATCCAGTGAAGATTATGTCAAAATTGTTCCATGCTTTTGTATTGGTTTGCTGCAACTCCCTCTGCTATGAACACTCTGAAAAAAGAACTACATCATTTTCAGCTTGTGGAGAACATAGCAGCTAGACTACCCACCCACCAACTCAGTAACTGCTACATCACAACAATTCTTTGCTTTCTACACTGGCTTCCAAGGGATTGCCTTTAAAATTGGACTGTTTGCTTTTAAAGCCCTATACAACTTGGACCCTGCTATCTGGTTTCCCATGCTCTTAAATGCTCCCTCCCCTCCTGAAAGAAAGGAACATTATACATATCAAGAGTCATCTTAAAATCTTTTGGGTCTTGTGCATTTTATCATGCAGCACCAACAATATGGAACTCACTGCCATCCACTGTCTGGGAAGAAGCACCCTCTTTGGACATTTTTAAAAAGCAGACTTTCTTTTCTCCCTTGTTTCATAGAAGAGAGAGAACAATATTCTACAGCAAGTCAGCATGTGTGATTTTGGCTGTTTGTAGAATGTGTTGACATAATGATGTTTTAACCTTTTGTAAAAAAAAATTTAATGTGTTTATACAATTTTGTGGATTTTGCTTTAAAAGTCCCAATACATCGTAAAAGGGTTCTAGTTCTCGGGATGTTGGCAACTAGAAAATGAACACTGTGTTGGACCCACATATTCTAAAAGCAAACTTAAGACACATCTATTATTTATTTATTATTTATTTATCGAGTTTATATAGCGCCAAAGGGTTTGCTCAGCGCTGTACAATAGAGGGGGGACAATACATGAAACAGAACAGTAACATCAAACAGCACACGAGGGGTTAGAGGGCCCTACTCTTTCGAGCGTACAATCTAGGAGGGAGGGGGTAGAGGCACAGGAGGAAACGGCTGTGGGGGATGGAGTGGTAGGAGGAGGGAAGGGCAAGCGGCTGTTGTTAGGTGAGGGTGGGGTAGGCTTCCCTGAAGAGGTGGGTTTTCAGGGAGCGCCTGAAGGTGAGGAGGGAAGGTGACAGTCTGATGGGATTGGGGTAGTGAGTTCCAGAGGATGGGGGAGGACCTGGAGAAGTCTTGCAGTCGTGCGTGGGAGGAGGAGAGACCAGGGAGCAAGATAGAAGGAGGTCCTGTGAAGAGCGAAGGGTACGGGTAGGGTGGTACCTGGGAATCAGGTCGGTGAGGTAGTTAGGGGCAGTGTTGTGAATGGCCTTATAGGTCAGGGTGAGCAATTTAAATTTAATGCGTTGGGCAATGGGGAGCCAGTGGAGGGAGAGGCAGAGGGGGGGTGGCAGAGGTGGAGCGGCTGGTGAGGTGGATGAGTCTGGCCGCTGAGTTCAGGATGGTCTGAAGCGGGGAGAGCCTGCACTGGGGTAGGCCGGTGAGGAGGGAGTTGCAGTAGTCCAGGCGTGAGATAATCAGGGAGTGTACTAGTAGTTTAGTGGTGTCTGGGGTAAGGAAGGAGCGTATCTTGGCTATTCACCTAGGCTTACAGCTGACAAATCCTTCTCTTCAAAGATTATTATATTGTTTGACATACAATAAGAAGACACCTCACAGTGCAATACAATTACAAAATAAGACACACCAAATAGATAAAACTTGTGAAGCCAAGGAATAAAACAATCCTTCATGTGACATAATATTATACTGCCAGTTATGCAGCTCATATCTGAAATGATTTATTGCAAATCAAAATAAAGTTAAATCTACTCAGTAGCCAATAAGACCAAACAGGTGTTGCCGAAGGTCTTGCAACATCAATATCTGCAGTATCTGTACTTTTTCAAGAACACTGGTGGGCATGAATGTTCAGACCTCACCATTTCTTGGTGGCAACTACAGGAATGAGTTACCTAAATATTTTCAATTCTACAAATACAGTATAATGAAACTATACAAAATATCTTACTTGACGAAAGAATTCCTTCTATAAATTCCTGCCGTGTTATCTTCCCATCTTGATCTTTGTCTATCCTCCGGAAGAAGTCCATTACCCGTGATTTCTTATGATTCATCCACCTCATATATTTCTTTCTCCATACATCAAAATCAAAGTTGGCAAACTCTTTGAGCTTTAATAAAAAAAAATACAGCGCTAAGGTTTTCCTCCAAAACTTAGCTGTGACTCCAGTAAGAAACACCACTGGTGAGAAACGTTTTACTTTAGGCTTATGTCTTTACCAGTGCAAGAAAATATGGAAATTGGTTTCTGAGCCCCTGGTAACCAAACAATAGTGTGCATAGACAAAAACAACAGTATATATATAGATATATACATATATTTAAAAAAATAACAAGTGATGTTGCACTGTTATAAGGTAACTATAAATAAAAAGACAATGAGGACATAACTGAAGAAAACGTCCATAAATGTGAAATCAATCAATTTTCATTCAGTGATAAAGTTTTTCAACAAGTCATGTGTTTTTCTTCTTGTACTGATATCCCAAACATCATCAAGTGAAACAGTGTGCATTATAAAAGTAGTGCCACCCTCAGTGCTCACAGAACTCTCACCTCAAAGCACATGAAAATGCGCTTAGTAATATCAAGTAGATAGAAGCGTTCTTCATTCTTTCAATCCACAACCATGTGATAGTGATCAGTCACCTTTGAACTTTCAATAGAATGCCAAACCAGAGCTAGAGATTGGTCCCTTTAACCTCCTTGGCGGTTTTCCCCGAGTGTAGCTCGGGGTAGAATTTCTATACCAAGAACGGTAACCCCGAGCTACACTCGGGCTTACCATGCAGCGTTCTCTGGGGGTCCCTGCAGCACTTACCTTGTCCTTCGCTCCCACGATGGGTCCCCTGCAGCGTCCCCGTCCATCTCCTCCGGCGGATGCCGGCATCTGGCTTCCGTGTTCCGGTCCCCGTGACGTCGGAACGTTCGGGCGGCGGAACCGGCGGGAAATTTGAAATTTTTAAAAAATGACATTTTTGCTGTCATTGCTTTTTCACTGCATTTCACATACATTTTGTCCCCACTGTTTTGTCCTGTGCCCTGCCTGCATTTTGACTGTTCTTTCTGCCTGGAAACTTAGAAAAGTCCATGGCGGCCAAAAAGCGTACCTTTACGTCAAAAGCGGTTTTAGAACAGCGATAGTAAATCAGAACCACTTGCAGAATTGAGTGATAATGATTTGTGGGGAAATTCGTCATCAGACACTGAAAAACGATTTTGCGACTTTGCTCAGCGATGTGCGAATTTGCCTCTGTATTTCAAATTTCAGTGTTTTTGGTTTGATTTATATTATTGAATTAAATTTATTATTATTATATTATTATTTTTTATGATTATTTATTTAAATTATAATTTATGATTTCGTGTTTCAAGTTTTATCATATCCGGAATGTTTAATAGACTCTTTTTCGGATAGATTTCAGTGAGTTATTCCTAAAAATTACAGCCTACAATTAAAAACTACATATTTCCATGCAAAAAAATGGTACCGCTTTTCAGCACAAAATTCCTGACATGATCATACCGCCAGGGAGGGTTAAAGGTAATGGAGGTCGCACATTTCTATCCTTAGTTCTTAGAAAGCTTTTTCAATTCCTGGAATGTCGACAAAGGCCAGAGGGCCCCAGAAGCAGATTACCAGCTGATCTCAGCTGATCCACATGGTTGTGGATTGAAAAAGTGAAGAACCCTTCTGTCTGTCTATTTGTTATTACTAAGCGCATTTTCATGTGCTCTGAGGTGAGAGTTCTGTGAGCACTGAGGTGGCACTACTTGTATAATGCACACTGTTTCACTTGATGATGTTTGGGATATCAGTACAAGAAGAAAAACACATGAATTGTTGAAGAACTTTATCACTGAATGAAAATTGATTGATTTCACATATATGGACTTATTTATGGATTTTTTATTCAGTCATGTCCTTTTTATTTTATAGTTAACTTATAGCAGCGCGACATCACTTATTTATTATTGATTTGCTTTTATTGTGGGAACACAATTTGATGTTAGCAGCAGCCATCATTGTCACATTCATTACACTTTGGCCTCTTATTATTTAAGCAGCACAGGGGTTTCAATTTATTTCAATTAGATATATATATATATATATATATATATATATCATGATTATCTGCTTTATATACAAGTTAGTAATTAGGTAAATACTTGGCAAACGCCACCCAAAACATATATATTTACATACTGGATGAGTACCAGCAAATAGACTCACCCTTTGGCTTATCACTGCATTTGTAGTCTCAAGTGACAAGATTTTCCTCTCCAGAGTCTCCACCTCCTTTCATATGGTAAAAGCAAGGTCTCACTCTTTATATTAGATAACCCACTAAGCATGACACACTATCATTGTGATCAGCAATGGGCACATCAGTTTGGTACAACTAGGAAATGTAGCAAACACATAATGATACTAGAATTCCTGAGCTATATAAAATACCAGCACATGGCTTAACTTGCCAGCTGCTACACAAAACTGAAATATTAGTGGCATTTAATTAAAGACAAATTTGTCTGCAGAAAATTACAGTACCTCTTCCAGCCTATCCAAGGCATCATTCAGATTTCTTCTTCTCTCTAATGCCAAAAGCCACACATGTTGCCATTTGCTAACTAATAAATTGACCCTTGGGTTCTTTGTTTCTAGTGGAGCTTGTGTGCCAGATGGATAAAGGTGTGTTGTGGGTGACCCGCTTTCCTGTTAAAACACACAATATGCCAGAGTTCAGCGTTTACTAGAAAATAATGTAACTTTAAAATAACACAAAATGTTTCCATAGCTTATATTTAAAGCAATAAAATGTGTTTGTATATTATTTAGGGCTCCAAGAAGGTTATTTAGACAGTATGAGAAAATTATTCAGTGAGTTTTTTCTATCCAAAAAAATGGATCATATATGCGATAACATATTCTTCTTTTGTGGATACAGAACTATTTTCATGCATCTTTGTGATCTCAACAATGTATTTTCTGTTCTTTAATACTTACGACCTGTTCTCCCCTTGCCTAAGACCGGGATTTGAGATTGCCCTGATGTAGATTCAGCAGCTTTCCTCTTGTAAGTCTTTGTGACTTTATCTACATCTGGCTGTTTTCTAGTCATTTCTTCCATAAATGCCTGAAACATTACATAGCTCATGTAAAAATGTGGCACAAAATCAACAGGCTAGAATGCAAAAAAAAAGTCATTAGTGTTCTTGGAAGACCTTGTCATTAAATATATATTACCTGATGTTCTGCTATCAGAGCTTTAACTTCATCGATCTCCTCTGGGATGTCTTCCTTGTCTTTTTCATTGAGTGTAGTCTCTGCCCACTGTAACCATGTCAGAAGAGATTCCAGCAACTCCTTTTTGGCTATCAATTCTTCCAATGCTGCAGCAAGCCTTTGTTGATGCTGCTTTGCCCAGGTTAAGACCTTAAAAATGTCAAACCACATAAAAGATCAGTATTGTGTCAGTTCTGTGCCCTCTCATGGTGTGAATAGAGATTATAAACCCAGGATTCTCAACCAAGCAGGTTGAGCTGCTTCAAGGGCATTATGTAATGCAGATGAAACTGACTTTTCACTTTCCTCATGGTTTCGTAAAGTCCATTTTGGGACCTGGAGCCTGGAGATTTCAAAGTGATCTGGGAGAGATGAAATCTCCAATCCAGGGTCCATGTGTTGTGAACCACCAGCACACTAATTGTACAGGTGTGTTCACAGCTTTACATAATAACCTGACTAGGGTTCTGGGCTCCACCAGGCAGACAGAAGAGGTCTCTGCCTAGGAGTACAGATTGGAGCCAGAGTAGCAAGCGGCTGCCAAGTCCGTGGACCAAGCTGTTGAGAGAGGTCCTAAGTGGTATACTGTCATGGTCTGTAGGAGACAGAGCAGGACTTGAAGAGTAAAGCCTGAGCTATGGTGATGTATGTGTAAACTAGGAGACTACACATGTATTTTCTTTGAATGTTCATTTGTTTTGATGGAAGATAAATGCAGAAAACCCCTCTGACAAATGCCTATGGCTTTGATTTTCTGGAACTTTGAACTTTTTTAAAATAAAATTGGGCTAGAAAATCCCTAAATCCTTTTAAAGCTCTACCATTTGATGCTAGTTCTCACAATATGCACAAATACAGTTATTAAAATGGTTTTAGAAGCACCTGAGTATATAAAGTGTCCAGAAAATGACTTAAAATATTCTAACAATGATTTTGCTTAGACTGCAGGAGGTCATGAGCTCATTCCTTTTAGCTCTTTTAATATCTCAAGGTGCACACATACGTGTGGCAGGGCATTTGCAGGTAGCCTGTACATGCTGTACTATGCCGTGGAGCTGCTTCCACAGGGCACCTGAACATTCATTACTAAACATAAGTATCTACTGTTCATGAAGATTGAGATGGCTACAGAAGAAACTCAAATCCTGGTGGTTTGTCTTGTCCTACACCCAGAATAGCAAGTAATAGAAAAGACTCAATTCTCCTATGTATGTAAACATGCAGGTGTATTTATATGGGTGGCTGTGTGTGCTCAATGGGGTCCACAGGAGCCCAATGCTCAGCAGCTTGGTCTCCAATAGTACATTTTTACTGCATTCTTTGTTCCTGCTTCAGCAATTTCTTCTCACAACTGTCACCGGGACAGGACGTGTAAGCCTATCAGCCCAAAACAGACAGAAATTAAACCTGACAAGGGTTCTCTTGCTCACTATATTAAAAACAAAGACTTGGCTGTAGTAAGACTGGAGAAAATATAGTGGATATTTAAACCACTTCAGCTCTCATGCCTTTTTATTCTTTATGGACCATAGCAATTTTTACAATTTCACTATGAGTCTCTTTATTTGGTCATACCTATAGTATTACTTTGTATAAAAAACATGCAATGTTCCTGGCTAGAAAACACACATCACCTGGCACCTACCTCCTCAGTCTTACTGTCCCTGGCCCTTCTCCTCCATTAATTTAATTTCAGTTCTTTCAATCATGAAGACTCCATATGTGAGCATTACCTAGGGTGGTCTGCATGCATACGCAGTCTTCTTAGGAACACCCATTCTCACACTGCCATTCACCCAAGAGGCTACTGCTTGCATCAGGACTGAGGGCTCTTGAGCACAGTACTGAGGCAGGATACTTCAGGAGACTATGTACAGAACCCTAACACCCATTCCCAGCAGCCATGAAAAATAGACACCCAGTGATAACATCACTTGTCTACAACAAGGTATGAACCTTGATTAAATGATCAAGGTGCTCCATTGACTAAATGTAAAATAGAATATGGACGGTATACGCTTTGAAGGCACCATCTTTTTTACATCTATTCGCTGGAGCACCTTGACAGTTTAATTATTTTAGGACATATCTCTTATGTTCAAAATCCTTAAGTGGTATAACGAATAAATATTGACACAAAGTAAACAAATTCCTTATAAATACAGATATATAAAAGCTTACATACCTCCTCAAACCTAGCTTTAATAATGGTTATCCAGTGCTTAATAGTAGTAATGGAGTCTGGATGACAAACAGAAAGGATTGCTTCTCCCTTACTCGCTCCATTATTCAGCTCAGTTCTTTTTTCCTCAATATTCCTCATGAATTCCTAAAGAGGGACATATTATATACATGTAATCACTGACAAATCTCCATACATTATGACACGATGAATATAGCTATTAAAGAAAGCGTGAGTTCTTTTGGATTATTAGCTATCACAATTGCTACCAGAGTCAAGGTAGGTTGCTAGATTACACAACTGTTTCATGATTGGTGCTCAAACCTTACATGCAGTTGTCCTACAGTATATCCACTGATTTACTGAATCATCAAGCACTTTTTACATTGTGAGCAACAGCATTAACAATGCAGAAATAAAACAAAAAACTGTATTCTTAAAGTATGAGATAATGTCCAATAATATGAAACCTAAAGTTTCCCAGCTGTGGTCAAACAACCCCCATGATTCTGTTATCTCTAAAATTCCTTATGAACTAGTTATTTGGAACTGTACAGAAAAGTGTTGATATATGACCATTACATAATGCAAGAATGCAGTAACAACTTTTTTTTTTAACAAGCAAAGTATGTTTTAAGCTGTGTATTTAGTGTATAACTTGTTTGAGACCTAAAGTAAAGAGGTTTTTACACCCCAAAACATAAAATAAATTAAAAATAAGTGGGTGTTCCAATAAATTAGCAAGCAATGATCTTAAACTGAAAAGGCACTATCCTTGACTGTTGCACTACGTTACCTAATAAGAGTTATTACATCGCTTCACCCAGCTGTTCTGTCAAATGTCCTGAGCCTGTCCAGACTTTGGAGGTCTCCAGAGAAGGGGGCTCTCTTATGGGGGTTGGGGGGGGGGGGGGGGCAGGCATGAAGACGAACAGGGGTTGTAATATTATATCAGACAGAAGGTGAAATCTATGTTCTTTTTTAACATGGCACCAAAAAGCAAACACTTCAATTGGTGATTTCATCTTTTAATCTTTTCCGCTCAAAACACTTTTGCTACTCAGACATCAGGCAGGTACTTGTGACAGGCACTCACTGCAAGTTGACACCTATGGTCACTAATCCTATGAGCCTTTATTTTGGTCTGACCAAGAAGGCTATACAGTGACTGTACCCATGCATAATGAAGAGTTGGTGGTGAAGCAGAATGTGACAAAATCAAGAAGGCTTTACTAAAGAATAAGAATATTCATAGTCCCTGTGCAGGTAAAAAAAATTGCACCCATTATCAGAAGATCGCAGGTACAATCTTAGGCTCCTGCAAACTCTAACCATGGCTATCTATCTGTAGCTCGTATGGGCAGGCAGTTACTTGAGTGCAGGAAGATCAATGGACTATGAGAGCGCTCAGCAGCACCCTCATAGTTCATTGAAGGCGACAAGCCATCATTTGCATTGGCTGACCGTACTTGTAGGCATTAATTTACAGGAAACTGTAAACAAATGACGTGGCTGTTAATGGCCGTGCTGTTTTCAAGTTGTGACAGCTAGTGCAGGGAGAAGATCCCACACCCTTTGTCATAGGGAAGGGGGAATCTGGAGGAAGGGGGGAAGAGGCTGCAGATGCTAGAACATGTTACATGTTCCACCCTACAAATTGGTATAACATGTAACATGTTCTGAATGTTAACTTATCCTTTAAGTCTTTATTTACGACTGACCAAGAATGCTGTACAATGACTGAACAATATTTACACAATTTATAGCCCACAAATGGCTACCAAAGAAATAGTTTGGTTGGATTTACAGTAATTAGCTGTTCTGATAACCTAAACTGTGCCAGAGCAATGAACATGTCATGAGTCTTACATCTTCAATTAAATGTTACATGTTTTGTCTCTTATGCATTAAAATTACCTAATTGCCTGTCTGCCCCTGCCAGATATTTGGCAATATCGAGATAATAAATGGCGAGCGCTGTGTATAGCAAAAAGCAGCTAGTACAAGAGACAATGACAATAAATCTCACAGTAACATATGTGTATAAAGTGCAGCACTAAATCATATAGTAAAACATCCAAGAGTTTACATACAAGTGCAAATAAAGCATAAACTTTGGGGAAACAATAGATGAAGAAAGTCCATACAGTGTAAAATATAAGTGCTAGTGTAAATCACAAAAAATGTGACAAAATATAGTCCATATATATGTCAGTGGTACTGCAAGACACAAAACAGCAACGTGTCCAACTCCAAAACAGTGCCAAGGGATCCAGTGAACACTCCACCACCACTATGCACTCACCAGAATGCTACTGGTATAGTAGCAACGATTGATGGTCAATCAGATGTAATATTCACAAACATTAGCCAGAGATCCTTCTAGAAGGAAAGCTAACCACACGGAACCCAAAAGAACATTTATAGTGCTGACTTTTTTATAGTGCCTACGTGCTGACATCACGCCGTCATGTCCGTGATCTGGAGCGGCAGCCATTTTGGTATGTATATTCAAACATGTATACACTGTTTCCACGAGGAAAGTTTTTATTTTGCCTTTTAATAAATACTACATTATAAAGGTTATGTTGGGCTCCGTGTGGTTAGCTTTCCTCCTGGCTAAGGATTGTGAATATTGCATCTGATTGGCCATCGATCATTGCTACTATACCAGTAGCACATTGCTGTTTTGTGTCTTGCAGTACCACTGACATATATATAAGGGACTATATTTTGTCACATTTTTTGTGACTTACACTAGCACTTATATTTTACACTGTATGGACTTTAAACATTTGGCAATGCCGAAGTCAACAGAATGCGCATACACAGGAATGACGTCATCTGCACCCAACTAATGAAAGCGGCCTGTGATCGATACCCAGAAGCCAGCGGCTCAAAGATGTCAGCCACTGGAGGGGAGCTCCAGGATGTCACATCGCTGGAGCTGAGGTGAGTTTAGTTGAATTATCAATTCCTCTAACATATTCTCTTCATGGTAACAGCAGGATAAAAGCAGATGTATTTAGTGTAGGACCATGAAAGAGCCAAATGCTGTGTGTTAGAGGACTTTCGTATTTTTTTTTTATTTTTGCAAACCCCTATTTTAATCTACTTTACCATAAAAAAAAATCTAAATATGCAAACCAAAAAATAAGCCAAGATAAATATATTGGGGGTGATCTCAACAAACCTGTCTAAAACATTAGCAAGTATAAGATAACAGGAGTGTTTCAGAAATGTATGAAAACAGCAAGGAGAAATAACACTTCTAATTTCTTTCCGTACTATACTGCTGTTCCAAAATAAACATCATGCTTGTTGTAATTTGAATGCCTTTGCCTCATAAAGTTGTCTTGGAAGCTAGTGATCTTTTTATACCTTACGTTTATGTTCTCATGCAAAGAATCAGAGTCAGATGATAAACTTTTTTTCTGCAGATTTTTCTCTGACTCAAATTCGATTTGCACTGAAGTTCAACACTATAAAGTGGCAATAGAATGTTAATGCAGGCACCCAGAGGTGTCAGTTTTCTAGAGAACACCAGTATCCCTGACAGTATCCCTGACATCTGGGGCACTGTATTATTATTATTATATAGTATTTTTATAGCGCCAAAGGGTTTGCTCAGCGCTGTACAATAGCAAGGGGACAGAACATGAGACAGGACAGAAACAATACAATACACGAGGGGTTCGAGGGCCCTGCTCTTTCGAGCTTACAATCTAGGAGGGAGGGGAAGTGGAACATGAGGAAATGGCTGTGGGGAATGAAGTGGTAGGAGGAGTGGAGGAGGTCAGTTGTTAGGTGAGGGTGGGGTAGGCCTCCCTGAAGAGGTGGGTCTTCAGGGTGCGCCTGAAGGCGATGAGGGTATGTGACAGTCTAATGGACTGGGGTAGGGAATTCCAGAGGATGGAGGAGGTCCTGGAGAAATCCTGCAATCGGGCATGGGAGGAGGAGACCAGGGAGCTAGAAAGTAGGAGGTCCTGTGAGGAGCGAAGGGCACGGGTGGGGTGGTATTTAGGTATCAGGTCGGTTAAGTAGTTTGGGGCGGCGTTGTGAATGGCTTTGTAGGTCAGGGTTAGCAATTTGAATTTGATGCGTTGGGCAATCGGGAGCCAGTGAAGGGATTGGCAGAGGGGGGTAGCAGATGTGGAGCGGTTGTTGAGGTGGATGAGTCTAGCCGCTGAGTTCAGGATCAACTGGAGTGGGGATAGAGTTCATTTGGGTAGGCCAGTGAGGAGGGAGTTGCAGCAGTCCAGGCGTGAGATGATGAGGGAGTGTATGAGTTGTTTGGTAGTGTCCGGGGTGAGGAATGTACGTATCTTGGAGATGTTGCGGATGTTGTAATATGCAAGTTTCACTTTAACTATGAAGTCAGTATATTAGCCCACCCCTTGCGCCTCACTTTAGGTCAGCTATGCCTCTAATCACATTTAGTGCCACAACTGGTCAGCTGTAGGTGGACTTGAGCAAGTCAATCTGCTGACTTCCAAAAGCCAAAGTTCGCCGTTACATATAACAGTAGGAGCGTTACTTGGGGACTTAGAAGGCAACTCTAAATAATTTCATTAACATTTGGTTTTTACTTAAGAACTTACTGTATTCATACCTAGTACAGTGAGCTGCGTAGGTCAGAATTGATCAATGCAGGTTCAATGCAAGAACACAATAAAACAACCAATACAAGTGCATTGATATGTGTAGCATGTCTGCTTTTTTTTTAAAAAAATTGTGTGGCACTGCATATCAGCATGTGGCAATGAGCTGTTGTGCATAGAGTTAAATGAAGTGTCATTTTGTGGCACTTCGTAAAAGTAAAAAAAAAAATTTAAGAAAAAAATCAGTGTGATTTATTGTAACAATTCATTGCACTGCTCCTATAGACACAGCATAATGTATGCATTAACATGCACAGGCTAGTGCGAATGGGCTCTTATTATAGCATAAAACATGCACTCTTTAAAAGGTTCATCTTATACAATCTTTTCTGTTTAACAAAAGCAAAACTAACAGAACATATATTAATATACAGGTAAATGAGCTTAACAGTAATAAGGGGAAATAAGGTGCATTACACAACAAAGCTGACAGCGTGTCTATATCTTTCACGTCATCTCTGTTCTCTGACAGCATATTATGATGCCACTGATAAACTACTGCCAAGTGACAATGACTAAAGGTTTATGTTTTATTTAATGACTGTAAAACCTCTCTGGAAATGGATGCACATCAAAAAAGAAGAAGAATGCCTGAGAATGTGCGATAAATTGAAAACTCAAATCCTAAAGGAAATGGACGATTAGTCTTTTAATAATTTAGAAGACCAAGCTGTCAAATTGGTAAAAAAAATGCAACTGTTTTAAATATAATTATTTATTACATTTTAATTAAAAATAACATATGTAAATCGTTTTATATGAGTCCCGTGTCACAAGAATAATAGTAACATACTGAAGTAATTCTGAACGAGTGGTGGTAAGTTCTATATTTGTAATGTACAATAATGAAAAGTCTTTTAAACCCCTAGCCCAGACACAAGATTTAGCACTTTAGAAAAATGCAGAAAAATCAAAGCCGCATAAAAGACAACATTCGCTTATTGTTTATACTGTATGCAATTTTCCATTGCTGGGATGAAGGAAAAATAAAAAATTCATGCCACATCCTTTTTAATGCCTGCATAACTTTGTACTCACCCTGTGTTGTTCAATTAGTGTCTTTAGAGAATCTTCATCATCGGGGAGGACCCCATGAAATCTCAGGGTCTGTTCTGCCTCAGCCAGCCACTCCAACAAGATATGCACAGCCGAGTGAAACTCCTCTGCCTGGAATAATACATAATCTGTTAAATTCATTTTGTCACATCCAAATCATTTTTCTTATTAAAGCTATGTTCTTACCCTATAAACTAACCCATCCTCTCACTGAACATATTTATAGCACCTTCAAAAATAATAAGCTAACTGCATATAAGAACTATAAAGCACACCTTATGGATCTGTAAAATGCCAGTGTGTCAAGAACTATTTGGATGGCAGAAAGTGTGTGATTTATAAACAGAATATCTCTTCTTTCATTTAAGAGTCTTTACATAAGCTGAGCTGTAAATCTGCCAAGCTAGCTCTTACTGAATGTTCACTAGTGTAAACTGTCTCCTGTCAGAGTTCAGTACAGAGACCAGGCTGGTATATTCACTCATCACTTGGTGAGAAATGACCTCTTAAATGTAGTAGAGGACAGGAATTCATGTTATAACTGATTATAATCCCTACATGAGCGCACCTGACGCAGGGCTTCTTCCAGTCGGGTCTGTTTGGATACAGATAAAGTGCATACACTATCCCAGCGGGTGCCTAATTCCTGCATTTGGGCTTTCACCCAAGAAGAGTCATCACGACTTCCTTCAATTAACTCTCTGGCAGATCGCTTGAGGGCCTGAATACTGCTGCTTCTCTTTCCCAGCTCTTTTTGAAAAACCTAAGAGAGAAAGACAGCTTTAATATAATGCAAGACACAAGACACATTAGCCTTTACATCTTTAATCCTCTTCATAGATCGGGATATCAGTGCATTGCATTCTACATTTTTGTCTTACATTAAATACACAAATCCAGAAAAAAATGATTTCTTTTGCATTGGATAGTGTGCGGTGGGGTTAGAATGTCTCTTGGGTCTTTATTGCTGTGCTCTAATTGTGGGGTCAGAATTTCAGGAAGTTTTCAAAGCATTTCCATCAATGAAAGGAGCAGCAACAAAAATACCTTTTTTCGTACTAAAATGGGGAAGGGTTAGAACTTCCATGACAATATTATTCTTATCTGTGCTATTCTTTGTGTGCGTCAAATGACATACTCTTCTAGGTAGGAGTATGTATGTAGGTAATTAGGTAAGAGTGTACATATATCTTTAGAGCAATTATGCAATATATTATAAAGTGAATGTATATGTAATTAGGAATATTTGTGGTAGACTTTTCAGGAATAGTTTGCATAGGGTATGTGTCAGAATGCACATAGGAAGGAAACAGTAAAAGGTGCATATAAAGTGCAGTATAAAGTGCTCCTTTTTCAAGCCTGAGCAGTTACGCTCGGAAACATGTAGCCACACTCCCCATGCTGCGGTCCCTCCAGGTATGAAGTCACTTCGGGTCCTGTACAGTCCAGGCACGTCAGGGTAGCTCCCAGATTTCCAGTTTTGTTTGTGGTGTCTTACACAGCTCCTGACAGTGGTATCTGCTTTCTGGATCCTGAAGACACACTAAGACTCAACAACAAACCACACTGGATGGATTACATACTCTTATTCATAAGATGCCACTTGGGATTTTTAAGTCTTGTCCTATATACTGCACTTCGTTGGCACCCGATGCTGTTTCCTTTCATGTGTATGATTATGTTGTAGTGTAGCTGTATCACTACTTTTGCCATTCTTTATAATTCTCCGTGAACGTACATGTGAGTGCGAATGTAGATATGTCCATGTTTGTGAGTAGGTTTGACTGTGAATGACAGGATATTTAAGATAATAAGTGGAGAGAAGTGTGGTGTGTGTGTGAATGCGTACATTTGTACTTATATGCATGTATATGTGTGATACCATGCATGTGCATGTATGTGGGTGTGATATATACCAGGGGCGGACTGACAACTCATGGGGTCCCCGGGCAATAGGGGATCATGGTTCCCCTGTGTCCTTGCCCAAACTCAAAAAAGCCTATGAAATAGGTACCAGGGGCATCTCATGGGGCCCCCTACTGACCCCGGGCCCTCGGGCAGTGCCCGAGTTTCCAAATGGTCAGTCCACCCCTGATATATACTGACCACATCTAATCCCCAAATACATGATTAAATAAATATATAAATACATGCAGTGCTCATGGATGAGGTGCAGTATGCACTTATACCACCAGAGGTAGGCAACCTATAGCTCTGTAGCATAGGAGGCAAGGTGGGTAGTACAATACTAAAAAAAAAATCTAGCACAAGCCAAAAACAACAAAAGAGAACTGGATTTCTATGGCTTTCTTTATACATTAAAGCCAGGTTCAAGTATTAATCTAAATAAAGAATTACAATTTATTGAACTGTATATATAACAAATAAGGAAAGAAAAATAGGTAGCCAGAGGTTGAACATTACTTTGTGGTTGTCAATGAGATTCATCACTACATCAATATCTCCTTGTACTGGTTGATCTTCAGCCAGCTGTGGTTCCACTTTGTACAGCCAATCAATAAGAGCCTGCAAGGCATCTGTAAACTGGCCAGAGAACAGCAGTGCTTCCTCCAGTTTGTTTTGTCTGGGTTACACAAAAACAATAAAAATACACATGTTGAATTGAAAACCTGTGTTTTATTATTTCTTCAGCGACACTGTATATTATATATTGCATAACAGACCCACACACCAGTTTGTCCTGCAAATATGTTTTAATAAAAGGTCTAATAACAACAACTAAAATCTCTTGATGTTCTAAGCACTGCAGTTATCATACAAAATTACAGAACTAGCACAAAACACTTACATGCTGTGTTAGATATGAGATTTTTGGCTACAAATACAATGTTATACGTATAATCTTAAGTAGAAAGCAGACCGTACTTTGGCCTGCCGCGTTGCCATAAGTAGCTGCTGGAGAGGGGGGTCTAAAGTGTCTTTTTATTTTTTTTTATTTTTTGCTGACATTTTCATTATGGAGATTCCCAGGTCCCTGGCGCCCTAGGTGCTCTAAGACATAACTGGAAGTACAGTATGAGAACAAAGGGCGTCCGATCAGCAGCACTCCAAACAATCCACTTTATTGAACCAAGATAAAACCAATACAGACGGTGGAAATACAGGGGACTGGCAGGTAGACACGTGTCACACTAAAGACAGTGCTTATTCATTACCCTGTCTTTAGCGTGAAACGCATTTACCTGCCAGTCCCACACTGTATTTCCACTGTCTGTATTGGTTTTATCTTAATAAATATGGATTATTTAAATAAAGTGGATTGTTTGGAATGCAGCCGATCGGACGTCCTTTGTTCTCATCTATGCAGCACATGAGCTGGGCTAGCACCTACAGGAGGAGTTGTGCTTGGATATTGGGAGTCTCTCTACTCTGAGCAGCAGTAATACATATATGCGTGTAGAAGTACAGTATGTTTAGGAAATCAGCAGCACTGAGATTAAAGGATGAAAAGAAGGTGAAAACAGTATAAGAAATATCAGTTGTTTTTATGATATTTGTTTACCTAAATATTGCTTTCCAGTTATGGCTTAGATCTACTTGACTTAACTGAAGCAGCTGATTAGTAATCTTCTCCCTTTAGGATCTGCTGTATATTGGTTATTTATAAGCTTGGTACACACGTTACATTTTTTTCGGCTCAACCCAGCGGGCTGAATGAAAAACAACCAATAGGTCGCAGTACTAACTATGCAATGTTAGTGTGGCTGAGCCATTGTGTTCTGACAGGGGGACTGCCCCCCTGCCAGAATACCCTGATCAGCGCTCACAGCCATTGGCTGCTAGTGCTAATCAGCTGCTGGTTTTCCAGCATATCCCTTCAACAAAAGCCAGTCATTGGACTGGCTTCTGTCAAACAGACTGCTATACACACTGTCAGAAAGTTGGCTGGTTTCTGCTGAACCAGAATAGGTTGTATTCTGGATGTTCTGAATACATTCTATTCTAGAATGTAAAAGCAGTGACAGTAGAATAAAACTGATTCGCTCTAAAAGCCTGACCATACATGATTATTTTTTTTTCTTCAACAAGGGAGTTAAACTAAAAAAATTAGCCCATTAAATGTGAATGGGGGAATCACTCCTGCTGTGGTATTGTATTTTTACAGCGAGGAGCCTTCCATGTCATCAGAATACAACGGTCAGCATTAGTGGCTATAGCTGGTGGCACTGATCATTCGGGAAAACCCAACAGGCTGATTGTACAAGTTGATCAATAAATCGCCAGCCTATATATGGTTTGAAATACGGTCGGTCCCTGCTGAACTGGCTGAATTTCAATCCATGTATGGCTGGCTTAAGAAAACTTAACTTTGTCAAAATACATTATCTTCTTTTGTTTCATTAGAATGATAAAAAAAAAACATTGTCAGTTTGCAGTCAAAATCACCTCCACCGTAATACTTATTACCTCTCCACTGATTTCCCACAGACTGTATCCCATTTGTCTCTTATCTCACTGAGCATGTCATCGAGTTTCTGAATGTCATCATTCAGAGCTGCTTTCTCTTTCAAGGAGCGCCCACTCCTAGTGGTGGAATCGTACACAGAATGTTTGGCACCCAGGGTTTTTTGAAATTCCTGTGGATTACAAAAAATAATACTAGTGCAGTTCCTTAAGTTAACATACAGATGGTAAAGGAATATTAAAACAATAGTTCTAACAGCAAAGAAGTTCTCTGTAGTGCTTTGCCACAAGAAATTTGAAACAAAACCTTTTGGCAACAAAAATAACTGGAACAATAAAGATGTAAATCAAAATGGAGCATATGTAGTCATAATACATCATTGTTGCAGTCTGGATGGAAAGTTTTGCTCATAAAGTCTATTATTCAAGCCCATGTGTTCCAGTCTTATGCAGAGATGTAGTGCAGATTACTTCATTAGCTTGTTTTAGGGTGTGCCAGAGAAATATTTTTGTTCTCTTCTAGTGGTGTGATATAATATACGTGTTACTTAATGCACTGGCCAGTCTTCAGATGTAGTCAGAGCCATTAAAAATGAAAAGTGGAGTTTTCTATTACAAAATTAAACTAGGCACTTTCTATGGTCATCCAAGATAAAAAACTGATCACAGACTAAGAGGAAGAAAAGACTGATCTGCAATTTATACTCCTCATGTATGCTTTACTCAGTCCAACAAACCCCTAGAAGAACACATCTAAGATATCTAATGGTAAAAATAAAGTCTATTCGTTATGTAAAAAAGAAAGAATTTTGACTAGATGTACTTTTATTTTATCAGTATGTGATTTTCATTTGGCAAATTCCCTTCATTCCAAAATCGAATGTTAAAAGTAAATGCCATTTTGTAGTACTTTCAAACAGCATTCGTCAAGTCATCGAATGTACTGAGAATTTTCATACAAACGTTTGATTAAAAATCTACTAGTGTATGTCCAGCTTAACAGATTTCTCTGCCCATGTTATGCATCACAGGTGGACAAATTTCCCGATTTGTCTATTGTATTCTGACAGGACAAGACAAGATATCCAAACAGCATCTGATTCAATGCAGGTGTTGTTCAGCTGAAAATTTTCTGTTCAGCTCTTTGATTTTTCAATTGCAGCATGATGGGCAGGGCCAACAGGGCCACCCATGTAGCAAATTCCTGATTAACCGGACAAAATATGAGGTATGGGCCAGTTTAAGAAACATCTACAAAGCTCAACAACTGTCCTTCCTTCACTATTGCTTAAACAGCTGTCAAGTTATAACTATATAATATTCTATGCTTCTAAATGAGTGCCAACAAATAAAAACGTTTTATTCTAAAATTTCAAATGAATGCACTTAGTCTCAAAAGTGAAAATGAAAATACCTATATGATAAATCAATGCAAAGAACAAAGTGAAAAGAAATAAGAATTTAGTAGACGTCAATATTTAGTTTAGTTATTTGAAATTTGATAGGCTGAAATTGGCTAGTGCAATAAGTTTCTTGTGTTGCTGGTTTTCAATTCATATGCAACGGGATTAGCACATACTTTGCAACCACCAATTCCATACCTTGCAATGGTCTGTTAAAGGGATAGTTCAGTTCAGTAAGCAGATGGTCTGATTTACTATTTCTATTTTTGAAATTATTTTTACAAGCTTGCCATTACTGTTATTGAGTTAAATGTAGAGAACTGTAGTTTAGTCACTAGAGGGAGCAAACGCTCAATTTGCAATCACTCTACCGTCCTTTTTATGTATGAACTCTAAATAAATCTGGCTGTCAGGGGCACGCTGTTTCAGTGAGTCCACTAACCCACTGAACATGGCCTTGTATTGTAATTTGAACATTTGATTGTTTGTTCTTGACTCTATACAGTACATCACTGACCTTATGTGTTGCCAGTTGCGTCTTGATCCTGTCTGGGTCATTTGCAATCTCAAGTTCTGAATCTAAGGAATTTTCTGATTCCTCCAGCCATTCCATAAGTTTGTCAAAAGCTTCATGGAACTGTGACAAATGATACAAAATTGTGATGCAAAATATTTTTTCCTACAGAACAACTAAAGCAGTAGAGCAAAGTACGAGAATCAAACCTTAATACAATACCTGTTTGGATCTTTTTCGGGCATCATCTAACGCTCGCCCTCTTTCAAGCGAGCGCTGAACAACATTTTCCCATCTGCTCTGTACATTGATCAGTAAATTCTTGATTATTACTACATCCTCTTTTTGGCTGAAATATTTTAAATGGGTTCCAGTTTTATCCAGCTCCATGATCTGATCTCTGTGTGAATTAACTTCGGTAACAAACACCTAAATCAAATACAAAGGCATTTACTTTATTTATGCAGCAAGTCAGTAAAACAATTAACACTAAGGTCTTTTGTACATTTCCAACCATTTTCAGGGCTCTCCTGAGCTGGGTAACCGCTAAGGGGAAGCATTATAGAGCTTTGCTGCAGTACAAAGTGATGTGAAGGTGTCATTGATCTCGGGTGTGTGTTTATCAAACTAATCCAATTTGCTTTTTCAGTTGCAGGTACAAAGGAGGATTGGCATGCATTACATACTACTGTGTACAAACCCTCAAATTATTTTGCACAAAGATATATAAGTTACAGCTTATACACTGTATATATAGCTTTTGTCAAAATGACTACTGCTTTGTGTTTCTGCCCCCATCCTCCTAAACTCATAAAATATTAGATCCGCTCTCAGTCTCTGTTTGTGAACGGCTGGGCACAAAATACTCAGGAAGTCCCATCATCATTTAAAAAAAAATATGTGAAAAAATAAACCCTATATATGGCACCTAAAATAATATCCTGAACATTACATGATTTGGAAATACTAATTGTCCACTACAGATTTTGCCTACCCAAGCTTAAGCCTTCAGCTCATGTAATCCAATCACGTCTATGGCCAACAAAAATCTATCTCAAAGGACATTCCTCAAAGTGGTTGTAAACCCTTACATATACCCAGTGAAGTGACTGTTCTCAGCTGATACACAGAGATTAACCAAATCCTCCTACATAAATTGAACCTGTGTATCTGCAGTCTTCTCTATATCTGTTCAAAGTCCAGAATGCATGCAGCTTGTCTGAGCTTTCAGAAAAAAAGGGGGCGGAGAGCAGAAGTCAAATTCTGCTCAGCTCAGTGAGGAGAGCTCTGAGAGCTGATTGGATGGAAGGGACACACTTCCCTTCACACAGCACACAGGAAGAGTGGAGGATATCAATCACAGTCTGTGTGCTGGAGCTGCCTCTCCTGTCACCTGTTTTTATTGGTGTCAGGAAAACTTGTCAGAACTGACTCATGCAGTTAGCAGTGGAATGAGGCAGCAGACAGAAATGGCACTTAGTGCTCCCAAATGAAACAAGTACAAACTTTGCCAAGTCACCCTACACACTGCCTTACTTATCCTCATTTTTCTTTTCTCATACTTTCTCTCTGGTACTGGCTGGACTTGTTCTGTCAGGAATTTTTTACTCTCAACTTTGTACTCATCTAACTCCTAAGTCATGTTTGCATTGTTTATTCATTGCCTTTCATCCCTTTAGGTTGATTAGTGCTCTACTTGAACCCCGGAAAAACCGATGCTCTGATTATAGTGCAGTTTCTTTTCTTTATGTATTTTTGACAATTTCAGTGGAAACCTACGGTTTTCTTTTTGCACTTTTATACACAGTTGATTTCTGTCAAATGTTGTATATGTTGCCTATCATCTTTTGATGAACCTAATGTTTGGTTCTCTTTGCCTGTTAAAAATCTTTTCATAAGTAAAGAATTATAAAAAAAAGAAAGAAACAAGTACAAACTATAGAGCAGCCTTTTTTCAACCGGGGTGCCTTCTGGGTCTTCAGGAGTGCCTTGGCAAAATGTCTAACAATTGCCCAAACTGGCGGGTGGATCAAGCCTACTTTTTTGTTACACACAGCTACAGGTTTCTTTGTGCAACATTACAATCTTGGGCGCTGTGCAGGCAAGCTGCCAGAACCTACCGACTGCTGACATCATTGATTGATGAGGAGGACATAAGGCACCTGTACAGCATCTTTTTTGAACTCCACCCCCTGCCCCTTTCTTTCTGCACTGGGGTCATGTTAGTTGCCAAGGGGAAAAAGGATGAGGAAGAAGAAAAGCTGGAATACCAGTCAGACACCCAATATAAATCACCTCTAATGCTGGATGTTCTACACGTGTGGATCCTGCCCTAAGTAAGTAAAACTATTAGTTTAACTTTCTACATTTTAAAATGGAGTACCTCAAGATTACGCTTAATTTTAAAGGGTGCCTTGACTGGAATAAGGTTGAGACTGACTGCTATAGATGGATATGCTTTGTTCATATTTCATGATAGGGGCTTACAACTACGTTAACTGAAAACAAAAGCATGTACTGCAGGTTAAATCTATAGGAACTCCATAAGAGGAGTCATAAATGTAGTTTTCATACACACCTTATGTTCATCAATTTGAAATAATACTGTATCCAAAACAAGACTTGGCGGAGAAGCCACAGTTAGCGTCTGCTCAGCTTGGGTTAGCCAGTTAATAAAGTCTTGAAAAGAATTGTGAAATCCCGTTGCCAGATTTAGTGCTTCCTCGAGTTTCGCCTAAATGCAAACACAAAAGTTAGTAATGATACCAGACCCATTCAGCTTGTATGTCTGTTCATGTGATTAATGTTTGAGGTTTGCAGTTCTGAAGTAGCCCTGTTAACATTTTGCTGTTCTATATTAAAGCGGAGTTCCAGTCAGTTTTGTGTTTATTAAAAGTCAGCAGCTACAAAAAGTCTAGCTGCTGACTTTTAATAAACACACACTTACCTGTCTCAGAATCCAGCGATGTTTTCACCCACGCTGTCCCCTCTCTTCCTCTTCTCTCCCCAGCGCCGGCATTACACCTGTAGGCTCCAGGCTGTGACAGCTTGTGGCTTCAAAGCTGGGTGCCCACTGCGCATAGCTAGTCGCGCTGCACATTCTGATTGGTTCGGCAGTCTTCTGGGACCTGTGAAAGTCCCAAGGAGACTGCGAGAGGAAGGAGGGGGGCCAAAACGTCTGGCTCACTTTGCCGTGGTGAACTGAGCCGGAAGTGGGAGCGGGTACCTGTCAAAAACAAGTATCTGCTCCCCCCCCCAAAAGGTGCCAAATATGGCAGTGGAGGGGGGGAGGAGACAAACAAGTGGAGTTTCCACTTTGAGTGGAACTCTGCTTTAACTAGCAAAAATAGCTTGCAAATTACATAACTATTAAAACCTTATAGAACCTTGGCAATTAATTAAGAAAGATTATGTGTAATACTCAAGTCTCAAAACTGAGTTTGGGAATGCATATTTCTGCATAGTTACTTCTGTCCTGCTTGAACATATGTATGTATGCATGTGTCATATCTGAAAGATCCCCATGAAAGCTGGATATCACTATTGTAGTTAGCACAGCTACTACAGTGATCACAGACAACTTCTGAACGGCTGCCCTGCTGCTTAGTGAACACAGGAGGCTGCTTGATCAGCATGGATGCCACTCAAGGAACACTACATTTTCTCAATGAATGTAGAGCTTTTTCAGATTGGACAAGGTGGAGTGGTGATGTCAAGATCTCTACTTCTTCCAATCAGGGAATGCTTTGTATTGGTCCATACAACTATGCCAAAATATGCATACCCCAACCCCAACTTCAGCTCATATCCTACATTATAGTACAGTGGATATTAAAGCAATTACAAAAATATCAGACGGCAGAAAAAAATGTCCTACAATAGTAATGTTATTCATACTATATACATGTTGTATGTTCATCCCACTACTGGATGCTGTTGTAATGAGGTCATTACTAGTTTATTAGAGCTGAGACAGAAACAACTACCAATACCAGAATAGAATGTTATTACTAGAAATAGTATGACCTTGAGGAAACGTTTACCTTTCTTGTCTGCAGCACATTATTACAACCAAATACTGCACCTACCTATTTACCTGTTTACCTATTAAGCCTTCAATACTTACTTTTTGCTCGCTGAGTTTTGTTTCTACTGATTGCCATTTCTCTTTTAGGTTGTTTATGTCTTGATCCATATTTGCTTCAGGGTCATCTGCACTTTTTTGCAATAGTTGCTGGCTTTTAAGCATGATGCTTTTGTAGACCTCTTCCTTTGCTTCAAACATAACACATAGTTCCTAAAGATATGAAAATACCATTTTTATAATGCTTAATTAATATGTGTCAGTACATTAGAAGTCAGATAAAACAGATATACTTTGTAAATGATGAACATCAAAATGAAAGTGGTTGTAAACCTTATATTTATTTGACATTGAAATAATAAACATATCATACTTACCACCTGCTCTGTGCAATTGTATTACCCCGAGTGACCCCTTACCTCCACTTCTAGAGTGCCCCCTCAGCAAGTCGGCTGCTGAGGGGCACTCAGGCGGACATGTTCCCGAGCCAGGCTATGTACATCCACAGACACACACAGCAAAGCTCGGCCACGGCCATGGCCACGACACTGTATTTCAGGCAGGATCCACATCCATTTTTCTGTACCTGCAGAAAATGTACTTATCCTGAATCTAAATTAATACCGCCACCACTTCTAAGATATCATCTGAGGTAATCACAGAGAACAAGGGGGCACGCTTTACATCTAGAGGAAAAGAAATTTAATTTCCAAATACAGAAAGGTTTCTTCACAGTAAGAGCTGTGAGAATGTGGAATAGACTCCCTCAAGAGTTGGTTCTGGCCAGCTCAGTGGATTGCTTTAAAAAAGGCATGGATTCTTTCTTAGATACACAAATATAACTGGATACTAACATTTATAGGTAAAGTTGATCCAGGGAATATCCGATTGCCTCTCGGGGGATCAGGAAGACATTTTTTCCCATGCAGGAGCAAATTGCATCATGCTATGCTGGGTTTTTTGCCTTCCTCGGGATGAACTGTTGGTGTAGGATTATAACTTTTTTTTTTATGGTTGAACTGGATGGACTTTTGTCTTTTTTCAGCCAGACTAACTATATATGGTAAGCTGCAATATATTACTGTATATTACATTGTTAATATATTATATAAATTATTTCATGAGAAATAAAAGTTATAAGTTGATATCTGGAATAGTCAGACCCTCTCAAAATGTTTGCATCTAATTTTCACATCCACTCAATAGCGCATAATAAGTAAGAGAAGCTCTTCATTGACCTTTATAAGGATGCACCTACTTTTGTCTGAGAATTAAAGCCCAACTATAGCCAAATATTTTTTTTTCTTATTTTGGAGAAGTAAGAGCAACTCTGTCAGGTTTTTATTTGTTGGCTAAGTCAGTGTTGGAGAGATTGCCTCTCGGGACAGGAACTGAAGGGAAATCCCTCCAGTGTGGACACAGGGTGCAAACCTCACACTTTCTTTAGTAAAATGAGAAATGGTTAGTCAGAGTATTACTTCTTCTAGAAAAATCTGCTTCTCTCTTATGTCTTGTCCTGCTGGGACAGGAAGTAAGATAAAAAGAAAGTCTCCCCAACATGGTGACATAAATTAATTGAAATGTGACAATTGGGTTTTACTCTTCCCAAATCTATCCTAAGCTCATAAAAAACGTTTTGGCTCAAGTTAGTCTTTAAAATAAAACAATGGATACAGCCAAATATTTTTAACTTGTCAGATCATTTAGAAACATGCTTAACTGAAATTGTTTATATACGACAAAATTGTTGCATGATGGGATCCAAATTGTTTAGATTTTAGGTAGTACATTTCTGTGTTCCTTTATACAATTAACATATTACACTCAACACTAGAAGGATCATAGGCAGAGTTTATAGGACCTTTTGTGATGTTGATATCCCCCTCAAATTCCAATTGTTAAGGGCATTTTTCTCACATGCACTTTTCCTGTGCTTTATATATAAATGTGAAAAAGCCATGAAAGTCACAAAATACAACTAGACAAATTTAGAACATTATGGCAAGAACAGACCGTGACCACCGCTGTCCTTGCCTACAAGGCAGACAGGACGACTAGGCCGAGTTGAAGCCATGTCTGCGGATTCTTACCAGATGAGTGCTGAGTTGCTCTCTCGCTGTTTCTGGTAATCCTCCAACAGGTTTGGAAGCCAGTAAATGACGTTCAGTCTCTGTCAGCCATTGATGCATTTCTTCAATCTCGCTGTGGAAACCCTGAGCCTGTTTTTTGGAGAACAGATAACTCAATGTTAAACAAATGTCAGCATCCTAACACTGAGCAGTGCATAACTGCTTAGTCAGTAGTTATGTGCAGCAGCCTTTGAAATAATATATGATTTCTTATTGTTTTCTGGCTTTGTTTAGAGTAAGAACAAACATGCATAACTAGACACTATATACACATAATAAAACTCATAGTGACAGAGCACTTCCTTTGGATTCTTAATAATAACTTCATTGTAATACAGTAATAATATATCTATAGGTTCTGTTCTATTTGCTCTATTATAATATACCAATAGGACATTTTTTACAATTTTTAGTATACTGGCCTGAAAATAACACTAAAAGAATGTAGTGTGGAAAATGTTCACAATTTGCATGTTAATTAGATATACACATCGTGTTTGAGTAAAAAAGGTTAGTGAGCCATTTTTTTCTCTTCTAAAGCCTAGTACACACAGGCCGCATGTCGGGTGTGACTGGCCAACATTCGGCGTGTGTGTAGGGCATCCGGTATGACAGAAGCTGGCCGGTCAGCTGGCTTCTCTCGTCGTAGAGGCATGAACGTAAAAAGGTCTGCCAATTGGCTCACGATCAGCACTGTCAGCCATTGGATAAGAGCACTGACTAGAGTGTTTTGGCGGGGGGGGGGGGGGGGGGGGGGTGGTTGCCATAACACAATAGTACAGCAGGGGAGATTGCTGTATTAACATCAGATAATTAGTATAGGGGCTTCTCTTGACAGGTTTTGTTTTGAACAAGTGTACTAGGCTCAAGGCAAGTCAGACCCTCCAGAGGGTATGGATTGTGAGATATTTATTTATTTATTTCAGGTGCCTATATAGCTCCGTCAATTTACACAGTGCTTTTACATGTATATTGTACATTCACATCAGTTCCTAACCCTCAAGGGGCGTACAATCTAAAGTCCCTAACTCACATTCATACATACATACACATACTAGGGCCAATTTAGGCATGTCTTTGGAGTGTGGGAAGAAAACAGAGTGCCCGGAGGAAACCCATGTAGGCACAGGGAGAACATGCAAACTCCAGGCAGGAAATGCTGTGGTTGGGATTCGAACCAACGACCCTAATACTGCCAGGCGGAAGTGCTAACCATTTAGCCACTGTGCTGCCCGATATGGAGTGATTTAAATAACCAAAGAAAATGATAAATGCAGATATTAATTACAGCCAGCGTGTGTCTCCTAACAGTGCTCTCATTTAAAAAAATTACAAATAACTATATAAATGAGAGCAATTCTAGACTTCACAGCATTATGTTTTCTCATAGCAGCTGCATCTAATAGAGAGCAACCTGATATAAATGGTGGCTTTATTTCTGCTTTTACCAACAAGGTTGAAATATGTATGTCAACATGAAAATGGTGTATACACATTTGAACATTTATTTACCCCTAATTGAGCTTTACACTTCAGCAAATGTATTTAAATGATTCAAACAACACAAAAAAAAGAGCTTCATTGGAAATCAAAGAAATAAGTGATCAGATCAGATGGATGGCCACATCCTATTCTTTTTTTTAATGATCTTTTTTTATGTTCCACACAAAACAGTACATGGTACAGTAGTCCTATGCCATACTCAGAAAAATATTCATCAAGCATAGTTTCTATTATAAGATGCATACTATTACAAACTGTCAACTTCATGGGAGAATTATTATTAATGTTTTCAGAAAGCATTGTAGGTTCTGCACTTTCACAAATATGCATCAAAAACACGCTTCAATCTTTGATTAAAAAAAAATATATGTTTCAATAACTGAATAATATTTTGGTAATCTTTCACTAACCTGGAGAAGCGCATTGTCAAGTTGCTTTCTTCTCTGCTCTGTTTTATCCGTTACATTTTGCCAACGTTGGCTTAACGCCTCTAACCTGCTGTGCAGACTGCGAGCTTCTTCTCCAGCACTCGATTCGATCAGGTCGTTTCCTGCTTTCTGGACTGTTTCTACACTAGACTGGTGTGCCAGAACATCATTTTGCAGCACCTATAATAATAAAGAGAATGGTTTTGTTAGAATGAACACTGATTTTGTTACATGGGAAAAAAATGTGGGATGTATACTTTTAACTTGACAGCTCCAGCCCTCACACCTGTATGCTCTATATAGACCACAGCAATGTTTGCATTTCAGCTATGGGTCTATTGATTCAGTGCTAACTTTGTCATTGCCTAAGATAACATGACAATATATCACTCTTTTGATGCAAACAAGTCTTTCTGTTGGCCACTCCGTCTTGGAAAAAAATGTTCTGCATATTTTATGCTATAGTTTGTTCAGTCTACAATGACAATAAACCTATGGTTTTAATACAAAGGAAGGCAAAATTAATTACAATTGAAACAGTGGTTTTTTTCCAATGTTATGCAGTTATTTTACATTGGACACTAAACATTTAGTTTAGTCCTCTTTAGTGTTTTGCTCCCCCAGCCCCGCCCCCCACAGGGCACCTTATCCTTGATAATCAAGAGCATGCTCACATGTTATCTGCATCCTGGAAGAGTCTGGAAGCAAAACCCCCCCTGTGTGTTTGCGCAGAGACTTGGCGAGGTCTTTAGGCAGGAAATCTACATGTGTGCAGAGCTGTGGCTGAGTCCTGCAGGGATCCAAAGCCCTGTAGCACATCTGCGCACACACAGAATCTGTCATTCTATCCTACGTCAGGTGACAGGGGAAATAAAGTTTGTATTAAGGTTAAATAGGCACAGGGTTAAAAAATAAGTTCACCTTTGGGAATATGTTACGTGTACCACCTGTTTTTAGGGTGGAACATGTAACATGTTCCCACTCCTGCAACCGCTAGCCGACCTGCTGCCTCTGTGTGACAGCAGTACGCGGGGAAGATCTCCGTACCAGCTATCACTTTTTGAAAAGAGCACAGACATGCAGAGCTCCACCCACATGGCCATGTCATTCATTGACAGAGGTTTGTGAATGAATGAACTACAAGTAATGACATTCTTTGGGGCTGTTGGCTCCTAGTTCTCAATGAACTACCAGGACACTGTTCAGCATTCTAGGTAGTTAATTGAGTCTTCTTGCAGTTGTGTAACTGCCTGCTCACACAAGGTATGAGCAGACAGCTTACACTGACAGTCTGCAGGATTCCTGCATGGCACCAGTGATCTGCTGATTGCTGGTGCAATGCTTTCCAGGCTCCTACAAAAAAATCAGTAAATACATTTTTTTACCTGAAAAAAATATGCATTTATTTTTTTCTTTAAAAGATGAACTTTTCCTTTATTTATTTTTTTTACTCGCATGGTTGCCTTAACTGACATCACATGCAGATCACCCCTTTGATCTGCTATGAATGAACCTGAGTATTTACAATGTAGCAAAACATTACTGCTACATCAAAAATCTTCTGACATGGCAGACTATCATGTTACTATCAAGATACACAGAAGCAGAGCTGGTTCTGTCATACTGAACAATCCCGTCACTTTGACAGTCAGGATTCATTAAGTATTGCAGAAGCAGCTCTTTTCTAGGTAAATGCAGCCAGAGAGATGCAGGGGAGTCGGAAGAGCAGGGTGTACCACACGTGCAAAACATTTTTAAACTAAGTTTATTTGCATGCGTGTAGCACTCCAAAGTCCAAGACTGGTTAAATATTAAAGAATATGTAAACCCAACATTTCATATTCCTAATATGTGCAACTGTACCATGTACTCGTATGAAAAAGTATCCTGTTCTCTTTGTATGGATTCCTTTGTGTGAAATCCCTGGTGTTCCCGCCAGTCACACTGCATGGTCTGTTCTCTAAGTATATTGGGGACCTAGCCTGCTCTCCTTCAGTGATTATACTTCTGCTGACATGCACCCCCCTGCACAGCCTTTCACTGGGAAGACCAGTGTAAGGCTCTTTCTCCTCCCCTAGTTCTTATGCAGTTGAGAACAGAAGGAATGTGATCACTTATACAAAAAAAGGGGGGGTATATACTGTTTTTTTATATCTATACACAAGTGTTTTTCTATTTTAAACTGAATGGGTTGTTTTACAAGGTGAGGGTTTACAATCACTTAAACTCCATTGACAAAGCTTTGTATTCATCCTCTTCTACAACACATTGATGCTACAGGATGTTCTCACTCTCTTTAGAGTTGCGTGAATGGGTAGTATGCTTTTTTGTTTGAGACTCACCCTATGACAAAGTGAAAAGAACCAGGGTACTCACAGACCCTCAATATTTACTGAATGATCTGTGCTATGACTGCTAATGGATTTGCTTTTCAAGTGTAATGATTTTCCCACACATGGAATTAGTCTTTTTACAATATAAAATTAACAGTTCGATGTGGCTACAAATGTCTTTGTGTTAAGACTACTTACATGGTGTTTGGCAAGTTCAATCTCAATAGTCTTCGGATCTCCACCAATGGGCTTCTGTTCATTGAGCAATCCCTCTGTATGAGTCATCCATGTTAGCAATTCATCTAGTGCATGCTGGAATGGACCTAAAGCCAAGAGGGCAGCTTCTAGTTTGTGCTGATGGAAATAGAGAAAAAAGACTTACATTTAACAATCATTTCAAAACACATATATGTTGTATATTATATATTACACATGGATTGTTAGGAGTATAGCTAACGTAGTTCAATCCACTCAATCGTGTTAAGATGCTAACACATAAGTTATACAATATTCTATTCTGTACAGTATCTGAACGATTTTTGTTCTAATGTCTGAGACAATTATGAAATTCACATTTTCATGAAACAGATTTTGCTAAGATCATATATACTCTTTACCTTGATAGTCAACAAACATCATTTTTTATTTACCTGTCTGTTGATAATTCTATCCTCCAAGGTTTTCCATAAACATTTCAGTTCTTTGAAGGAGTCTTCAACCGCTTGCTTTTCATTCTCATCTGTCACCCTCTTCTGCAATAACTCCTTCTGGTGATTCAGCCTTTCCAGTTCTATTTGTTGTTGATACGCCCCTGTCTTGAATTGCTGTAGCAAGGCAAAGAGCAACAGACAGTTAACAGGACTGAAACTATCAAAATCAGAATGAGATTCAATGGCCTGCATCCTGTAATGTTTACAAATGAATCAATAGGGAAATTGAAAGTATAAAAAAATATAATATCGATTAACAAGTGGTTTTATCATACCTTAAGTTCAGCGATTTGCTGCTTCACTGTGTCTAGGTCTGTTCCGATAGGTGACATTATAGACATTCTCCCTGTAGCAAAATCCACCCAGTCAAAAAGTGCCTATAAGTAAATTAAACAAAACTTTACTGACATGCTGTATGGATCACACTAACTATGTTTTGAACTTTGCAAATTATTATTAACTTGGGAACATTATAGAAGTAACAATTAGGAACACTACACCAGGTTAGTCATTGAGGAAAGAAGAAACAAGTGTTCAAGTGATAACATTGGATGCATTATTATTTTGTTTAAATTGTTGTGTTAGCCTTTTGTGGTAACAGTTTAGCTAACTTTTTTCTCATTTAAAAGTAAAAAGAACGTTCTCTTTTGTATATAGCAGCTTTAGTATGCGATGAATGGTTATCCACAACACAAACTGTAAAAAAAATTCTAAAAAAGAATAATTTATGCAAGGACACAAGTTACTAGTTATGATTTTGTTTTTCTCTGTATTAACAAAATAGTCCTTTTAATGTACCTGCAGCCCATCCTGGTACTGCACAGCCGCCTGCATTGCGTCATCCAGTTTCTCTACTCGCTCTTTCCATGTTTTATAAAGTGTATCCCATGCAGAATTCAGCTAGAAATAAAAACATGTTTGAATAGGTCATGCATTTATATGAATTTGCATTATTATGAGATATATATATCATAGGTATGGAGCAGTTCATAATTTTCTATAGGATAGTTATAAAGCATATTTATGGCATACATGTTTGCAAGATCAAGCTCCCTTTTGCTGCAATTCATTGTACGGTACTTACCATCATTCAGTGGAACATCCAAGGCTCAGTAACGTTTATCAAATTTGTTTTAAAAGATAATTTTTTTTTCTAAATCATATTTTCCTAGGTGGATGCAGCATCAATCCAATGCTGAATCTGTCCCCTGCCACGTCTAAGGGTGAGAACTGAGCTATGAAATATCGCTGATTATGATTATATAGGAATTGTTTTAATAGATTGTTCAGTTCTCTCTGTTGCTCTGTGCAGAGAGCGTTGATTGTCAGTTACTGCCATCTGCTCTGCTCCCCCCCCATTGCTCACAGGAGACTGGGCTATGGAGGAGGCAGGAGCAGCTTGCTCAGCCTCTCAGCAGCTTTCTGAGAGGCTGAGCCAAGTGCCAGTTCCGACATCTGGGTGGATCCCGACTTTAAAGTCAGGATCTTTCCCCAGGTTGGACAGTCTGAGTGACCTCACCAGACAGCGGACTTTAGCCAGCTGTCGGCTGAAAACGGATCACAGGAGAGCAGAATGAACTGCACTCCTGTGATCCACAGGAGACGCACAGCCAAACAAACTTTGGCTGTACTTTTCCTTTACAGCAAATGTTACAGCAGACAGGCTCATCTTCCGTATGAATTTTGCCACTCAGAGATGGTGATTCAGTCACTGACCCCCTACTGAGGACCTGCTCCACTTACCTTTTTCCCCCTTTCCTGTTGCTCACCCACTGCACATATTCACCATGATGAATATAATAGATAAAACACATATGAAGCTTGAACGGTCTGAGAAAGCAGGCTAACCTAGGTATAAAAATTGTGCCTAGATTCTCCTGCATCTTTTTAACAAAACCAATGGCTAAGAGATGATCTCCACAGTGTTTATACTATGTCACACAGGTTGGTCAAAAACATTACACACAGGTTGGAAAGACACTTAGAAGTGATCAATCTGATAATGAACTCCAACCCAGGTACAGCATAAATAATTATATCTCAATGTGGAGCATATTTGTATTACAAGGAACAGAGTCATCTAATGGGAAGCAAATATCCAGTCCTACCAGCAGTCCTTCCTCTTTCACCGAGAGCTACTATTGCCTGTAATCAGCCATTGGTTCAGATAAATAGTATACACCAAAAGGCTGCTAGGTATAGGGTATGACCACTGCATTTAGAATATCTAAAAGCTGAACACTGGTGATTTTATCCACCAGGTGAAAATGACCCTATTTACACAGAAAATATATATTAATGTCCTTGTCATTAAGTGAATAAATTATTTAGTAATATAAATATAAAATCATCATTTAAATTAGCCCTACATCTGTGGGTATATATTGTTTACATAGTTATTCAATTTCTACTAAGTGAAACTAATGAATGCACTTACATCAGTCTGACTGACTGCTTTTGTGCCCTAACTGCTCCTTAAACAGTGGTAATAAGCTTCCATACAAGCTGCATTACCATTTCTAATCTTTGATGGTTCATTCTGTGGATGAAAGCAGCAGCTACATTACATTACTGGAAGCAGTATATCTTTTTGTCCTGCAATGGGGTTAAGCAGCTGCCACACCCATAGGTTTATGGTTTGACATTATAAAATTAAACAATTTCTAGGAATATAGCATTCTAGGAGCAAGTGAATAAAAGTGGGTTTTTATGTCTTTTAGATCAATGATTCTCAACTGCCAGACCATGGCTTTTTTGTCTTCTGTTTGCCATGCCTACATAACTAGGTGGTAATACACTTGAAGTACAGTCATGACTGCAACTTCACCATCGGCTGGTGTAAGTGAAAGATGACAACTGTTGCGGAAAAATAATCTTATTGGCAAGGCACACCTCCCACCCTATTGGAAGAGACTTCTCGTTTGCTGAATGACTGTTTGGCATATGTTTGACTGGCATAGAACAGTAGCTCACATAGGGCAGCCTGTAACCATTGCTGATGATGTGGAAATACAAGTTTCATTGTATACTTATTTAATGGCATCATTCTTAAATTGTAAGAGTTTAATGTGAACCTATACTAAATACTGGACTACTTAATGACCAGGCTGAGCAGCTGAAACCTATCGTTCATGTATATCAACAAAGGGGTGGATGGACAAACCAACAGGGAGGAAGAATGGAGATAGAAAGACATGAAGGAGCGAGGAAGGAGAAAGAAGAGTAAAAGGAATGGAGAGAGTAAGAACAGGAGAGATGGAATGAAAGAGAGTGAGATAAAATGGAAATGAGAGAGAAAAGGAAAGAGGAAAAGAATGAACAGGAAATACAAAACGACTGAAAAAGAGAGAGAAAAAGATAGAGTGAGAATGAAAAAAATATTGCTTTAAATAGATTTAAAACAGTATATTTGTCATTGTTTCTGTTTAAATTACAGTAACTCATATTTTTGACTGATTACTCCCCATAACACATTTAAAAAAAATGATTTTGTATGCACTAATATTTAAGTATAATCTATTTTACTGTTATGGCATGGAAGGATTTGGAATTATTGATTGCGTCTCAATAAGGTTGAGAATCAATGTTCTAGTCGTTTATCTGCACCCATGAGTGGTGTTTACCTTTGATAGCTTTTAATATGGTACATATTAGGAGGAAGAGGCATTTCTGCAAAACAGGTTTCCCGTTTACTAAAAAATCAGCAGAATTTACCCTCCAACTGGCTACAGGGCATTACACTGAGCTATTTCTTATCCCATACTATAAAAAATGCATTGGAATCAACTAGACACAAGCCTCATCCATAATTGCTACAGTGTTTACATATAAAAATCTCAATATGTAAACCAGACTTTACCTCATCAATACTTTTATTCACAACAGGCTTGTCAGGTTCTCCACATCCAGACATTAACTCTGACCCAAGAGAAAACACAAGATCCAACTCTTCTTGCAGACCATCGATTTCTTCTTTTATTGCCTAAAAATAAAATGTTACCGTGAAGATTCAACAATATGCAAAAATAAAAATGATAATAATAATAAAGGTCTAACAAGTACTTGGGAAAATGCTTGTAATATTTTGATCTTTGCTGACACTGTTCTCAATATATGTAAAAACCATAGGAAAAAAATTCTAGAAGATTAGCAGATAAATACACTTCGTCCTACAGTGAACACCCAAAAACAATATAGTTGGACCCTGCAAGATGAGAGGTATTGTGCTCACCTCTCTGTTAGGCCATGCCTGTTGGCTTTCACTCTTTTTCAGCAATGTAACCTCCCTTAGCATTCAAGAATTCTGAGAAGTTCAATAAAAACTGATGTTTACTATCTAATTTCACTTGCTAGTAGTGACTTGTCAGTTCACTACTAACAGTTAGTAGTTTGTAAGTATCATGAATGTTGCTTTCACTAACAGTATGTATCAGACTTTATAAAAAGGTCCGGAATCCAGTATTTTCTGGGACCTTAACTTTAGTATAAGCTTTGTGGTAGTCTGAAATTATGGGACTCCAATATGTATGATGATGCCTAGCTGTGAACATCAGAAAGAATTGTACAACTAGAGCTTCAAAATTTGATCTGGACTCCTGACTGACAGGCTGCTCATTTACTGTATACTAATATGGGATGATTTCAGGTCCATCACACATTAAAATGGCCATTGCAGTACATTGAATGGTCTGCTTATATTGTCCAGGCCCCCTTCTCTTGTAAAATACTTCTCAAGGCTGCACTATCTCTCTAGGAAGATTCCTGGCTAACGAAGAGTACTCCAAATCTTGAGATGACACTCAAGTTCATTGCAAGATTGTCTTCCTGAAAGATTTGCGCTGCCCTCTCTTCTCTTTGATCTCTCTGGAAGAAGTGTAACATCATCTTCATCTAGGCGCCACAGGAAGAGGACAGAGATAAGGTGAGTATAAAATTTAACTCTTTTCTTACATGTACTTTTGGATATAGTGGTTTGCTAAACTAAAAGCAAACAAATTGTTCACTTTTCAAGGGAATTTTCACTTGGCATTTTCCCAAAGCTTAGTGTGTATGGGGAAGCTTTCATCATCCAAGCATGAGCAAGCAAAAATACTGTTTTTTAAAACATTTTTAGCATGTGATAGGGTATTATTTGCAAAGAATACTTGAGCCTATTTGTCTTTAGTAAATCAAACCCACTATGTGCTACGAATTTTTACAAGAAGAGAGGGCCCTGACATTGTAATAATACCTGTAATATGAGGTACATATGTGAAAATATCGAAGGTATTTAAGACTCATAATCATTTTGCCAACTATTTCTTCTATTTTTGACGCATAAATATGTTCCAGTAAGGCGTTATTAATCATCTCACCTCCGCTGCCTCCTGTTGCTGTTTTACAACTGAAGGATCAACTCCAGGTTCATCAAGATCTCGAATAAATTCTTGGGTGTCTTTAATGGTGGCTATTAGAGCAATGTGATCACACCAAAACTTTTCTGCCAACTCCAGCACATCCAACAACTGGGCCTCCCTTTCCTCCGTCAAAGCCTGGATGTCCTCCCAGATAAAGACCATTTGGTCAAGCTTATCTTGGATGGCTGGCGAAGAAAGCACACTTTATAAACAGATATGTCTGCAATTAGATTCAGCTCTAATAAATTTATAGTAGTTCAGGCAATTAGGCTTTAGTGATTCATAAATAAGGCATTGTAAGGCAAATCATATCTCCATATTTCTTGCCAAAAAAAACAGATTTCATAACAATATTTATTTCGAGACGTATGCACAACATAACTGACAGCACATGATAAGAACAGCATTAAAGTCTGCACTGTACCATCCACTGAAAATGAAAAGAATAGTTGCTGTCTTGCCGAATGAATTACCTTTAGCTGAGATGTCCTTATCAGCACCCTCAGAACGAGCGATCATTTCCTCTCCACGCATATTAAGCGTCTCATAGACAGGCTGCAGCTTTTCAAGCTCCATAGAAACATTTTTATTCTCGCTTATCTGCTCTCTGATCTTCTCACACTCTGCTGAGATTGAAGGTGGCTGTCTCAAACGCTCAGCTATTCGTTGCAAGCTTTCGAGCATTGGATTAATCTTGTCATGAAACTGGTCAGCAATGTAAGCAGAAAGCATTCTTTTTATGAATTTTATTTTGAGCCATTAACACTTCAACAATAAAAACATTAACATTATTGGAAAATGTGAGTTGAAAACATATAGGAGTAGCATTTGGTTATACCATAAAGAAACTGAATGGTACATACAAGAGAAAAGTCCTATATGTTTGGCATTCTTCAATGGTACTAAAGTATACAAATAGAATTAACTCTAAATGTAATTATATTTACTTGTGATGTATAAATATGTTTACCCGGGATGAAATATTATTCTGGTTATGCTTTAATGTAAATCTATACAAACATGCTGGACCTGCTTTGTGCAGCATCTTGGTCCAGGATCTTGGTCAGTGTAAAGGAACTATGTCACTAGAAAGCTATGTATATGTGTTAATCATGCATGCTTTTACATTTAGAAGACACTTCAGCCTCTATGTATATAGAAGACACTATAACAGTTACCTGTGATGACTGAGAAAAAGCTTCATCCAAGGCAATAGCCCGCTTCTTTACAACCTCCTTGATATCACTGTAAAGAGAGTCAGCTAAAACATATTTCTCCTGGATAAAGAAACCTTCATCAGGACTGAGTTCCAGCAGCTGGGGCCCAGTTTTGTTCATCTTATCTATATGAGGTTTGTGTTCTGCAATCAGCTCGCGAAGTTGCTATGACAAAAGACAAACACATTACAAATGTTTTAGGATCATACTCCCCTCTATGTCTGGTTTTAGTGTCCTAATGTATCCAGCTGGCAAAACACTCTAAACAAAGTTATAAAGAGTAAAGATAATATTAAGGACATACATCACTAAGTTTATTAAGTTGATTTTTCTCATGTGGGCATGGAAAAACGTATTTTAAATATTTTATGGTGTGGCTATAGCAAGTACCATTCCCTTGATAAACTAACAAGGAGACACTTGAACACTCCAGTGGATGGTCTGGCAAACCAACAAATATAAGCGATTCTAAACATTAGGGTTACATAATTTAAAATGACAAAAGACTAAAGCAATGAGACTACTTGCTTGGCTGGGACTGTGAGGGCACCAAAGGTACTAAGCTTAAATATATTTTTAAAAGAAAATACAATTCTGAAATTGCATTATTATTTAAAGAATTAATAAATCATAGCAGTCCATCATACTCTGGGACCTATACTCTATTGCCTGTAGTATGACCATGCAAACAAACATAATAACAGTAATGCTGTCAATGCTCGTGCGTTGAAGGTGTTCTGAAACTTTTATTTCATAAGAATTTTGCAGCAATATTTAGGCACTCCAAATAGATAATGACTTCCCATACTGTCTGGGGGACAACATACCAACGAGACCATAACACAACTGCATTGTCCATCGCAACAAACCAGTCTAATGGATAACTCTCAAAAGAGCTTGAAGGAGTTTATAAATGTGCTGACTAAGATCAAAGAATGTTAAAAAATGCTACTTCTGTGTAGTTAGCTTCCACAGGAATTGCTGTATTTATTAAATGCAAAACTGCAAAGTACATCTAAAGTGAACCATACATGGATTAGGTTTACTACCAGATCAGTGAAATATTAATTCCGATTGGATACTGGGTTACTACACTTTAAACACTACTTTTTATACAGCAGAGGCAAATTTAGGTGATTAACTTTATGCTAATGACTGTAAGGCAATTGCAATTATATTTTTTAAAGCTGAACTCCAGGGAAAATGTTAAATAAACAGTTGAAAAACATATAAATAAATGGTTTTATCTACTGAAGTCTTTGTAATTCTTTTCAGCCAGTCTTGTGATCAGGACACGCCTATCCAAACAGGTTGGTAACCTCACTTTGTCAGTGCAATTAACCATTACAGATTAATCACCAACCTCCATCAAGTCTGCTGTCTAGTTAACCAGAAGGAACCTCCTTTCTGGAACTCCATTAGGCAGCCTGAAAGAAAATGCAACTCCAGTGAGAGAAACTCTCCAGATATAGAGGAGAAGACTCCTTAGCAGCTACCTGATGGAGAGTTTCAGTGATCACACCAGGGGATACCTCCTGGTACATAAGACTGACACGTTAGACTGTTCAGGAACTACACCCTTAGCAGTGTAGAAGGGTTCTGAAGGAGACTGAGAAGAAATGGAAGAAAATGAGATGTCTCAAGGGGACTCCCCCAATGCCCTAGGCTCCTGCAAGGGAGGAGAGAGGGATAACTCCCTGTGTGATGTTGAAAGCCTCAAAGTAAACACACTGTAGACCAACGCTGAAACCTAACAAAGTTAGATTAGGCTGGATCTTGCCAGCATTAAACCCTTCGCATGATGCTGTCCTACTCACTTCATTGGGGGTCATCTGATTAACCTCCCATGGGGCGCTGGAAAAAGGCACTAGGTCAAACACAGGAGTCAATACTCTGAGTGTCATGTGTTCATGAGCGATACTGAGGATACAGATCCAGGTGTGGGACAGACAAAACAAGTCTGGGTTGACCTAGTAGGTCAGAGGCTACCTTGAAGAGAGGAGTTTCTGAGGAGTACCAGGTTTTATTGAGGCTCTCACATACCCCAAGAGTGGCGACCCAGGAGTGAAAATAACTCAAGGCAACTGGGAAAGGTGCATTATTCTGTGCAGTGACACAGATTAAAAAAAGGAGGCTAGCAGCTAAAGAGGATGCCAAAGGCAAGGGATTGGCCCTGAGCCTAAGGGAGTGCTTTCTGCACCTAAATGCTTAAAGGGCAAACTACCCAGGAACTTTCAACGGTTCACGATTGTCAAAATGCAGACAGACCTTCATGCAAGTGAGTTTTCAGAGGGCTTAGTTAGTTACCCAGAATGCTTTGTTCATCTGTATGTATGGACATAAAGCTATGTATATCCCTTTTCATGGTATGTAAAGACAAATTAGCAGATGTACTTTTCCAAGATATGTTTAACTTGACACATCCTGTACAAACACACTGCCTTCAAAGCATACTATTTGCTCTAAATACAGAATTTCCATGACACCAAATATATGATAAAGCAAATACAGCGATTAAGGCAAATAACTTACACTAATGCAAGTTATATGTGTTTGTGTGTGTTGTAGCAATTTGTGAATGTGAGAGCCATCTAAATCTGGACAACCATGTTGGAATCTGACTGTACAAACTCAAGACAACATTTGTTTTTCAGATCTAACTATGGTTGTTGTGTAGCACAAGGGCTTTCTAAAATAATCATTTTAATTTACACCCAGCCAGGTAGGCCTTCACAAAAAAAACAATACACAGTAGATGTTAATAAATCTAAAGTAGATTGTACAGCTAGATTGTCACATGAACGGCTAGCTTGACTGTTTTTGAAAATACTAGTCTGTAGCTCTGCCCTACAGTCAACAGTGTTTATCAAATTGCCAGGCTAGTTTTTTCAGTTTTGAGAAAATATCTTACATTGGAAGCTTTGATGGCTAAATCCTTAATTATTGTGCAATGATAGCGGTAGTCATTATAGAATTCAAGACCCTCATTGTTACTTGGATGCATTGGCAGCCAAGATTTTTTGCGTCACCTTCTCATGGTTTCCTGGGTCAGCTTTTAGTGCTTTCCTATGGTCAGCAGAGAGATAAGATCACTCTTGTTTTTTATCTACTTCTTCAAGGATGGAATGGATGTCGAACATTTAAACTATGAAAAACATCTTGACTTAATATTTAGAAGTGTCAGTTATACTCTATGATGATTCCAGATTTGAAGACCTTTTACCTATTGTGAAGGCCAATGTGATCATTAGGACAATGCAGCAGAAAAACCTTATATCTGAGATCCACACACAAATATGGTCAGTATGTTTTACCAAAAATCTGACTGCACATAAAGATCAGAGATTGGTTCCATGGGCCACAGTTAAATATATATAAGTTGCGACATGGTATCTATAGACAACACAGGAAAATTGATCATTATGAAACAACTACATTTTGGTAGCACATATACCTCAGCTGAAAAACAATGCCAGTTACAACATTCATGTTAATTACCCAAGTTAATTTAAATAAAGAGGATTTAGATGGATTTTTTTTACTTATTCAATAAAGACAGCTGTCGTGCCAAGCACTCTGTAATCTCACTTCAAATCTTTATCGTGAGGGCCATTGCTTTGTTCATAGAGTGTCACTGCTTTTACTGTTTAGAACAGTGGTTCATGTTTTCAGTGGTATGTTATTTTGTCAGATGTGTGCAAATAAAGAAACAGGACAGGAACACAAAACATTGCTGGCATTTTACTGATGCTTATCTATGAACAGTATATTGCTGCACTACCAGATAAGACACAGTAAAAAGACTGTCGGAAGCAATTAGGTCAGACAATGGAATCTAGAGCCTACGTAATCTAGTTATGTCGACTTTTGTAATTGTTTAGCAGATGATGATTGACAACATTTCCCAACTGGTCCACCACTAGGAACATAAATGGTTTGTAAAATGATAATTAATGTAAAATAACAAGCCACAACATACTCGTCATTATTATGGTGCAGGTGGATTTTTAAATGAAGCAAGAAGGTTTTTTAAGGTTGCACAAAATTTTGGCATAGTCAGGGTACTAATAAACATTGCAACTGTTATGAAAAAAGTTTTAAAAGATGCGGTATATCAAAAGATTCTTAGGTCTTCTCAAATCCAAGAGTGAAAAAAATTCAAAGAATAAAAAAGTAAGTAAAATATTATGGCCAGTAGCTAGAACATATCAATACAAAAAGTGCAAGTCACACGGGATTTGGAGAACAAACGCAAACATTCACCAAGTTATCCTCAACAATCTCTGTACAAAAACTATATTGAATCATATCAGTCAGCATATGCAATACTCCATGTACCTTTTAATATGCCCCTTTTACTCCTCCTTTTCATATTAGTATCCTCTGTTCTCAAAATCTTATTTCTTTACCCCTCTGCTCCACCCCAAAGCTTATACATATCACCCTCACTTCTACCATCTTCCTACTACTGCTCACATCACCTCCTGATAATATTTAACCCACCTGCTGACCCAAACACCAGGACAGGAGGCATGTGCACTCATTTACATCCCACTCCCATCTTACTTTCCTCTCCCTCCTTGTTTCCTAACCTCTGGAGATATCTCCCCGAACCCTGGTCCTCCAGTATCTCACCCCCACACCAGGCACCCTCCTTCCTCCAGGAACAGCTGCAAACCACTCAACTTAATCTCAATCCCCCTGCTCCTAAAAAACACCCTCCCTTTTTCATGTGCATTCTGGAATGCCCACTCTGTCTGTAACAATCTCACCTCTGTCCATGACCTTTTTGTCTCCCACTCCCTTAAGCTAACAGAATCCTGGCCTTAAGCAGCAGATTTTGCTTCTCCCACAGCACTTTCCCATGGAGGCCCCCATTGGACTCACTCACCTAGACCCAGTGTTTGGAAAGGAGGTGGAGTTGGTTTGCTTCTATCCCTACTGAGCAACTTTAAAATCCTCCCTTCCCCTCCCTCTCTAGCTATCTCTTCTTTTGAGACTCACTGTGTTTGGTTGTTTTCTCTCCATTTCTCTGAGGATTGCAATGATCTATTGCCTTCCTGAATCGGTGTCATGATTTCTTGATGACTTCTCTGCCTGGCTACCCTACTTTCTCTCCTCTGAAATACCCACTATCATTCTTGGTGAATTTGACATCCCTATTAATGTTAACAACCTGGCTACATCCCAACTCTTCAACCTAACCTCTTTTTTTGCCCTAACCCTTCTCTTTTCTACTCTGCAACTGACCACCTCTATGACAGAATCACTACTCTGTCCTGCCCTGGCCACTTCTGTCTACAACAGTTCACTTTCATCCACACTAGACACACTTGCTCCTCTAACTACACAAAGTATCAGATCTCGACCATTACAACCTTGGCAGACTGACAACACCAGAAATCTTAAGCCGTGCACTGGAGCAATTGTAGTGTAAAACCAAATCTCAACCTATATAAATCTGCTTTCTTAAAATACAATTCCTCGCCATGCTGCCAAACAAGCCTACTTTGTCACTCTTGTTAATACCTTGTCATCCAGTCCTCATCGTCTCTTCTCTACTTTTAACTCTCTACTTTCTCCACCACCACCTCCACTTAGTAACTCTCTCACTGCTTACGAGATTGCCAATCATTTCAAAAACAAGATTGATACAATTAGTGAGGGCATCTCCACAGCACAGACATCTATCCCACTTAGCATACCTTATACTAAACCTCCCTCAACACTTTAATTTTTTGACCTTGCTACTACCGAAGAGGTCACTAAATTTTCTCAGAATCCCATCTCACCACCTGCCCCCTGTATCCTGTTCCCTCACAACTACTATGATCACCCTCTTTTTTTATCCTATGCTCCCTCAATGACATCTGCAATTTCTTCCTCTCTACTGTCACCTTCCCCTCCCCTCTAAAGCATGCACAAATCACTCCCATGCTTAAAAATCCCTCACTGAACCCCACTAACCTGAACAAATTAAGACCCATCTTCCTGTTCCTGTTTACCTCTAAATTCTCTTAGAACATCTAGACTACAATCACCTGAGCTCCTACCTCACTGACAACAACCTTCTTGACCCTTTACAGTCTGGGCTTTTGCTCACTACACTCCACTGAAACTGCCGTACTAAAACTCCTAATGATTTACTAACTGCTAAAACCAATGGCCACTACTCCATACACTTACTATTTGACCTTTCTGTGGCTTTTGATAATGTTGACAATCCCCTTCTCCTCAAAAAAACTCCACTCTCTTGGCCTCAGAGACTCTGCTCTCCCCTGGTTCTCCTCCTACCTATCGCAGCGCTCCTTCAACGTTACTTTTAACTCTGTCTCCTCCTCTCCACTTCCTCTTTCTGTAGGAGTCCCTCAAGTTTCTGTCCTTGGACCCCTTCTCTTCTCCATCTACACCTCCTCCTTTTGTCACTTGATAAACTTCCATGTCCTTTTAGCCCCAAATCTAATCACTGTCCAAATATTGTAGATTTCACCTCCGTAACAACTCCAAGATACGCCCGTTTTTAACCACTGAAACCACTAAGCAACTTATTCACTCCCTTGTTATCTCTCACCTTGACTATTGGAACTCCGTCATGATTGGCCTACCTAATCGCAGGCTGTCCCCTCTTCATGAATGCTGCTGCCAGACTCATCCACCTTACCAACCGTTCCATATCTGCTATCCCTCTCTGCCAATCCCTTCACTGACTTCCCATTGCCCAATGAATAAAATTCAAAACATTAACAATAACATATAAAGCCATTTATAACTCTGCACCAAATTACATCACCAATCTTATTTCCAAATATCACCCAAACCATCCTCTTTGCTCCTCCCACAACCTCATGCTCTCTAGCTCTCTTGTCTCGTCCTCCCATGCTCATCTCCAGGACTTCTCCAGAGCCTCCCCCATCCTCTGGAACTCTCTACCCCAATCTATCCAACTAGTGCCTACTCTGCCCACTTTTAGGCGATCTCTGAAAACCTATTTCTTCAGGGAAGCTTATCCTGCCTTCAGCTAATAAGCAGATCTTCTATTTCTCCTATCAGTTCATCCCCCGCAGTTATTACTTTTTGTACCACCAGTCCCTTCCTTAGATTGTAAGCTCCAAGGAGCAGGGCCCTCCTAACCCTCTTGTATTGAACTGTATTGTTGCTGTCTTTCTTTATATTGTAAAGCGTTGAGCAAACTGTTGGCGCTATATAAATCATGTATATTATTAATAATAATAATAATAATAATAATTTTTAAAACCTTGATGGTTAAATTTCATTTAAGAGCAACCCAGAAGGGCCCCCTGCCTAGAGCAGTAATAAAAACTGGCACAAGAATGCACTGGTACAAAATACAGTATTTTATGTGAGTTTTGGATGTTTGCCTTGAATGCACAACCCAATTCTGTCCATGCTGATGCATGCTAATATTCTCTGAAGAATGTTTTATATTCTGATTAAGCCCCTGGTCACATCGAGTGTGATTTGGCATGCGATTTGCAAGCTATTAGAGAGGTCATGTCGGAGCCACACTGATTTCTAAAGTAGTGCATGCACTACTTTTGTTGTGATTTGCATAGACATCTGTGTCAGATGTCTTGCAAATCGCAAGGAAATCGGCAGGTCACCCGATTTTGAAATTGTGCGACTTCACTGTAAGTCGCATGATTTCAAAATCGGCTTTGATGTGACTGTGGTGTTAGTGTATACAAACTAGTATATACTGTAACTGCACTGCACCTCTATCTATATGTTGAGCTTGAGACTTCGTTTGTCTAAAGAGGTCATTAAATCTGCTGAGTCATTTACTCTATACATGGTGGCAGCTTCCATTTTCATGTAGTAGGAGACTTTTGAGCACATCACAGTGCCAACATTTTAATTTATATCCAAAAAGGATACTTTCAGTGATTAGCCCCACCAATCTCCTACAATCCTCATACTTATGTGCTGGCAATAGTGGGGTAAGCAGCAAATAGTTAATTTCCATGATAGCCTTGACTATTGCAACTCCATTCTCATAGGCCTTCCTCTCCATAAGCTATCCCCTCTTCAGTCTATCATGAATGCTGCAGCCAAACTCATCCATCTTACCAACCACTCAGTGCCTGGCACCCCTCTCTACCAACTCCTCCACTGGCTTCCGATTGCTCAGCAAATTAAATTCAAAATACTAACAACAACATAACAAAGCCATTCACAACTCTGCCCCGAGCTAGATCACCAATCTTGTCTCCCAATATCACCCAAACAGTCCTCTCTGCTCCTCTCAAAACCTCCTGTTCTCAAGCTCTCATCTCCAAACCCCCATGCTCATCTCCATTTCTTCTCCAGAGCCTCTCTCATCCTCTGAAGCTCTCTACCTCAGTCTGTCCGGCTATCTCCTATTCTGGCTTCTTTTAGGTAATCCCTGAAAACTCTTCTCTTCAGGGAAGCCTATCACACCTTTAAATAGACATTTATCACTTCCACCAGCTCATCCCCCACAGTTAAAACCATTTGTTACACTTGCCCCACAGTATTAGATTGTAAATTCTTATGAGCAGGGCCCTCTTAACCCGCTTGTAATTTGTTGTATTGTAACTGTACTGTATCGCTTTATATTGTACATTGCAGTGAAAACTGTGGGCGCTATATAAATCCCATATAATATTAATAATAATAATAATTTCCACAGGGTGCATTAACAGCACTGCATACAGAGAGGTGAATGAGAGTTTTAAAATGTATAGAACTACTGAAGGCCCAGGTGCTGAAAAACGAAAAGCTTTTTCCTATGACAAGTACAATGACAGCACAGTACCATAATAAATGTTATATGTGTGTCTGTCATTGCCACCACTCACGGCCTGTGCTAACCATTGAAAGCCTGATGTACCACAATTGCATTGCAGAGCAGGTGTCATGTAGCCCAATTCACTAGAACAGGTGACTATACTACACAACAGTGTGTACTATGGCTCAGTGATCAGGGATGTAAAATGCTCATGTAAACAAAGTCCTAGAGTGTATGCTGTGGGCCGTGTTTTCTATTACACAGTTGATACATGTAAAGCTAATATATTAGGGTGCATTGTATGAGAACACTGGTTAGTGTAAATGATAAAAGTATGTGGCATAATCTATAGAAGAGAATCTATCACTTATCCTGGTACAATACTATCTAAGATGAGGTCATTTTACGTTGTAGATTGCTTTATGAAAAGAAAAGCCACAGGTTCATCCTATAACAAGAAGACTTAGCAATATTCTTCCCATGTTGTTACCTAGTTTTTAATTTCTTGGAGCCATCCATATGTGCCAACTGATCTTAGCAAAAATGAGATCTAACTATATTCCCTGTCAATAAGCTATACAATAAAAGTGAGCGTGAGGATTCATTTAATAATCCATCAAACCACTCAATTTAGTAGCTGTTCTTACCCGGATATCTTCTTGCTGTTGCTTTAGTGTATCATAATTTAAACCTGGAGGTGGCAATTCAGAGATGGCTTTCTCTGTTTCCGTCAACCAAGGCCACAGCTCTTCGTACGTTTCCCAGAACTGGTTTACTAAAGATACAGCTCGCTCTACCTGCAGGTTCCTCTCAGCATTCAAATGACAGACGTCCTCATAAATCTTCTGCAGGTGTCTGACCTTGTTCTTTATAAACACAATGGGAACAATTTAAAATCAACAGAAACTCTAAATTAGATAAATGATATATTCACATATGCACAGTACACACACAGGTTTGAGTTGCATAAAGTACATGAAATAGTTATGAAGGTATGGACTAATGTACAAGCTGCCAGCTGCATCTTTGATAAATGTTATAATAAAACAGCAATGATATCAGAAGTAGTTAAACATTGAGCTTACTGCATAAATGTTATCCTTGTACCTTGCAGAGGAAGCATGATTAATAGTTTCATACTGAATAATACATTTTATGCTAAAGCCTATCTTTAAAGAATAAGTTCACCTTTGGATGGAACATGTAAAATGTTTCCACACTTGCAGCCGCTTCCCGATCACTTCCATCAGCTCATCCCCCACAGTTAAAAACCGTTTGTTCCACTTGCCCCACAGTATTAGATTGTAAGCTCTTATGAGCAGGGCCCTCTTAACCTGCTTGTATTATTGCAGTAGTGACAGAAAGCTGCTTGTATTATTGCCTGTAGTGACAGCAAGCTGGGGATCTTCTCCCTGAACTCGCTGTCACAATTTAAAAAAACTCTGCTTGCCCAGCCACGTCTTTCATTCACATAGTTCTGTGTATAAGAAAAGTACAACTACCATCAGCCTTTGCTTCTGATGGCTTGTAGTTTTCAATCAACTATCAGAATGCTGATGAGCCCTCTAGGTAGTTCATTGATGGTTCCTATCATTGTGTAACGGCCTGCCTGTACGAGGTTCGAGTAGATAGCTTACACTGACAGTCTGCAGGAGCCGTACATTGCACATACATGATTTACAGGCTCATAATATAAAAAAAAATAAATAAATGAACATTTTTTACCTGCATTTATTATTTTTTTAAAAGGTGAGCTTATACTTTAAACACCTAAATCTAAAGCATCTAAACGTCTTAGCTAACCCACTAAGCAAATTACTTGAAAACACATTGTGATTAAATAATACAAATAAATACACCAGACATCATAAAATCTACAGCACAAAAAAAAGTAAGAGTCAAACATTCATTAGTGGATTCATTAGTATATACGGCATAGCTACATCAGACATTTTATGGTTCAAAGCAGCAGCAATGTATATGAACTGTGGTGTGAATTAGTGCATATTCATCTGGTGGACTTTTTACACAGTACTGGACATATTTACACATATTTTTGCATATTTAAATAAGTGTTTTTGATGTACTGTAAGTTTGATGACTTTACATGGTTGTATATTTTTTTTTCGTTAGTTAATTACAATATATTTTGAAGTTTAGTGGGTTAGCTAGGAAGGGGAGAGCGCTGCACTATTTATGTAATTATGTTCAATACTATATCTACATCTATGTAAAATATCTCACTTGCACGGTCTGCCGAATATTTCTATATAAATGAGTGATTTTTACATAAGTTTTATTTTCCCACACATTGAAGAGCATTTACTGTATATACACAGAGTTTATTGTTTGCAAGACAAACGTGTCACCACTACTAATTGAAGCAAACACTACTGCAACAAATAACTTGAATCAAATAGTCTTTTTTTAACAGAAGTTCAAATAGAGTCTTACTTTCTGACTTTAGATTTACGTTTGTTCTTTATTTACGGAAAGTGTAAATCATTCCTTAGTATCATAGCACACTGTCCATGCATCACTCTTCATCATTAACTTTATAAAATAGCAGTTTTTCATTTCAGCATAAAGAGACACTCCTTTCATATGTATTTTAGCTGTACAGCATTAACACTAATTACATTATTTAACTCCTTTTTAAGCCAAGTCTACATGCAGATACTGTATATGTAAACTTACATTTTATTATGTATTCTATTCTAGCCAATATTTGTATCAGCAATACAATGCAATTTATAGGACCCAGGCTTGATTCTTCAAGAAGCATTACAGAGGCAGGACCCACATGGAAGAAAAATATATTTAAAATATTCTTCCCAAATATAATGACATATATTTGAAATACTACAATTTTGGCCATATTCAATATATTTCAAAATATATTTATATATATATATGTATATATATATATATATATATATATATACATACACACTGCGTGTCGACACAATACACAATGCGTTTTTATTACAAAACATATGACAAAATATTTTCAAAAATACATTTCAAATAAACTGTATGTCTTTAAAAAAATAAAAATCTACATTTTTGGAATGCATTTACAAATATATGTAATAATATATGTAAAAATGAATTTTTTATATGTTAAAAGTAATCTGAAGGATATATTGTAAAAAATATATTTTTAACAATATATTGTTTTAAAATATATTCTTCAGATTTTTTTTAACATAAAAAAAAATCATTTTAACATATATTTTTACATATATTTGTAAATGCATTCCAAAAATGTAGATTTCTATTTTTAAAGACATATGGTATATTTGAAATGTATTTTTAAAAAAATTTTTTCATATATTTCGTATTAAAAATGCATTTCAATATGCAGTATATATATATATATATATATATATATATATATATATATTTATTGAAATATATTTTGAAATATATTGAATATGGCCAAAATTGAAGTATTTAAAATATATGGCAATATATTTGTGAAGTATATTTTTAAAATATATTTCCAATATATTTTTCTTCCATATGGGGATGCAGCAATTATTTTTATTTAATGGATAAGCTGACTACTCATTTTTCCAGCTCCTGTAGCTCTCCCCCCCCTCTTCCTGCGACAGTGGGTAGGAGTTCTACTTCCTGCGCCCACTGTCAGAAATAAAAAAAAGAGTGTGACCGCGCAGGGCTCCGCGCACGTGGCTGCGTCATTCATTCACAGTTTCCTGCGAATGAATGACTACAACTACCATCAGCCATTGCTACTGATGGCTTTTAGTTCTCAATGAACTGTGAGGGCGTTGGTGAACGCTCTGGTAATTCATTGATTCTTCTCAGCTAATTGTTGGCCTGTATGAAGTACAGGCAGACAGCTATGCTGAGAGTCTGAGTAGACTGAGATTGCACCCTCAATCTGATTGCGGGTGCAATGCTCTGTGGCTCCAGAAAACAAAAAAATTATAAAAGCACATCTTTAAACTGCAAAAAATATGCGTTTATTATTTATTATGAAAAGGTGAACGTATCTATTATGGTATTTCAGCTTTGTGCAAAAAAAGCAAAAAAGAATTGTTCCTTTTGCATGGATTGCTAATTTGCAGAATATTTCCCCTGACCATCTTTCCATATGCTCTACATATGCTGATGTAAGCAGACTCCAGATAGATAGATAGACAGATTTTTGGACTCTATTAAGGTGGCAAGACAAGCAGATGGTGGCAACAAAGAGACAACAAAGGATTTTGTTCAGATGTCAGTGCACTGCTTCTCACTGAAAACACATTTTAAAAGTCACCAAGGCATTGCACACAGTAGAGTTAGCCTCCTCTAATAATGATCGAAATATTTTTGTTAGTGATATATAAACGGGGAATTTATTTGGCCAAATATGGTCCATTTTTACAGGCATTTGAGTTTATATTTGTTACATTACATTGGTAATTTATTGACTAGACAAAAGTAACAATAAAAGCTTAATGCACTGCTGCTGGAGGAATAAAATGAAATCTTTCCACTATGTGAAATCACTGTATACAGCCTGAGAGAATAAATCATGAATGATTACAACAAGAATTGAATGTTTAAGTAAGACAGCATGAACCATCCTCTGTAATGAAGGCAGATTTAATACATTTCTTTTTAATGAGCTTTAAATTAATATTAAATCCCCAACTCAAACATTTTCTATATTGCAGTTTACAAATTCTTAGATGTGACGGCTGCATTAGTTTTCTTTTTTTAGGCTTTCTTTATTCTAATTCCACCAGGTGATCTGGCCAGTAAGTCTTTTGTTTATCAAAAGCACAAGCTCTCTTGCAGATGTATCAGTTACAGAGATGAGACAAACCATTCGACACTGACAGGGGTGCTTACAATGATCAGTTTTATTTTTTTTTTTAATGTAAAATCTTTATCCCAAAAGGAAAAAAAACTGTTGCTGTAATTGCTTATAAAGTGTGAGCTGGAGTTCAGCTTCAATTTGCTAGTGTATCTAAATCTGCTAGTTCATTTAACACTCCCCTCCTCCCAGACTGACAATGCTGCTGTCCAAGTGTGTCCCTTGATCCAGAGTGGGGGGCACTCTAATGTGTGAGGTGTGTTACTGGCCAGATCACCATGTGCAAACAGGGGGGAAAGACCTAAAAAAAAAAGAAAACTAATGCAACCACCACATCTAATAATTGGTAAGTTGCAATACATTATATTTTTTATAACACTTTGAAGTTGACATGAAATCAAAATGTGAAAGGAACTGCAAGGGAATTTTTCCTTCATTTAGTGAATGACATGAAGAGCTGCGGACTTTCATCATCCAATCACGCGAAAGCAAACTTTTCTTTTATTTGCCTTGCACATGATTGGGTATTCTTTGTAAACTGAATTTTCACCATATTCACTAAGGCAGGCCATAGACAGGCCATTTATCAGCCACATTTTCGGCCAATAAATGAAAAATCGGTCGGCCCCGTTGCCGATGCTGCCACCAATGTCCACGAAAAACGGCAGTTTTTCGCGGATTTTCCAGCATGACCGATCAAACTAAATGAGAAGATCCACGAAAAATGGCCGATGGGCTGGCCCCACTAATGGCGTGAATATCAGCCAATTTTTCGTGCAAACGAAAATTCGGCCGATTGATAAACGACCCAACTATGGCCTGCATAAGGTAAGGGAAAATGATGTAGCAAAGTGAAGTCTATTTGCCTTTAGTAAATCAACCCCGCAGTGTCTGTAACTGGGAAACATTAGCCGCAGGAAGACCACAGGAAGAACTGGTGACTAGTCTGCCTGCTGTCTGCCCATATTGCCATATCTGATTACAGTCCAGAAAATATGTTGCCACTTAGTCCCAGCGTGATAAACGTACCGCCATTGTTTGTTTTTCCCCGTCACTGAATGAATTCATTATTTCATCTCCTGAACTGACCAGCTCATCGATCGTATCTTTGTGTTTTAATATTTCCATGGTAAAGCCCTGTAAACAGAAAAATACATATTATTTCTGCTTCACTCTTCAAAATGGTATCTTATTTATTTGCAGATAGCAGTATTAAATCCCAAACACATTTCATTACCTTTTGAACTTGTAGCTGAGCCACGGTCTGGTCTTGCTCAAGCCGAATGTGACCAAGAGCCATCAATTTATTTTTGGTTTCCTCAATCCATGTTTGCTCCGCACCAACAGCTTGCTCAAACTGGAACAATATAAATGAGATTATATGACATAATGCTGCAGGATGGCTAGAAAGCTAGAACAGTCTTTATCAAAAGAGCAAAATTGTCTCCATTCCAGATGCAGAAATGTTCAAAATATGTTTGATGTCTAAACACAAAGTGTATAAGTAAACAATAACCAATGAACCCAAATTGTTATTGCGTTTCTATATCTGACAGCTCTGTGCATATGAAATGATAAGATAAAGAAAATATAAATCATAAACTTAGAAAAAAGTCTCAAGAAGAAGGACATGTTAGATGTCATCATGCAGTATTCTTTTTATGCATAGTACTAGCAACAGCTGTACAGAGAACAGAGCAAGGCAAATTCTGATAAAGGAAAAGAGAAAAAAAGTCTTTCATTGCACTTTTATGGCATAAGGCCCCATGTACAGGGGACGTTTCTGAATGATGGAAACTGACTGCTGGAAAACGTAGGTTTTAAAACGATTGTTTAGCTGCATTTGCATACCACGTTTATGCACGTTTAGAAGAATTTTTTAAAGATAAGCACAGGAGAACATCCCAAATGCCCAGAATGCACTGACAAGTGGTACATTATTAACTATTTCAGACTGTTTCAGAGAAATACAGAGAGTAGAAGCAGAGACAGCAGTATGTGTTGACATTAGCTAGGTGTGAGTTGCTCATTAACATTTCTTTTGTTTCCAAGGGTGGGAAAGGTGTCTGGTGGAGAGTCACTAAGGCCACCTGGCAGGGGGTCAACATGAGGAATTTGAGGTGTGAGTGCTCATTAACATATCTTTTGCTTCCAAGGGTGGGAGAGATCTGAGGTGTGAATTGGTCATTACACTGTGTGACAAGCTTGGTAGAAACATCCTGTGTTCAGTGTTTTGTCCATCTGAGTACCTTGAAAACAATTTGCATGCATTTTTCATAATGAAAAAGGGCTCTGGACAGCATCGGGAACTGGAAGAGTTAAAAAAAAAAATTCAAACGCAAACACTTATAAACGCGATTTGCCGCATTTAGCGTTTGAAACGTTGATAAAATTGACTGCTGAACACAAGTTTTCTGCGTTCAAAAAAACAACTGTAATCTCAAATGCCCGTAAGCGACTGTAAACAAAGATGTGTACATGGACACATAGGAAAACATTAGGGTGAGTTCAGGGCTGCTGAAAAAACGCTAAACAGCTGCTAAATGTGAGTTTATCATCTGCAGTGTACATGAGCTCTAAGAGTCTTTATATACATTGAAAAGATACAATAACTACATGTATGCATGTTTATATATATATATATATATATATATATCCTCCTTCAAAACCTTGTACATTGTGCAAAAATTAGATTTTTAAAGAACTATAGTCTTATATAAAAAATATGTGCTGCAGGACTAATTTCTAGGTGCATCTGCACTGATAGTTTTCTCCTAGTTTAGCCCCCTGCATGGCCCCAAAATACCTGTTGAACCTGCCAGTGAACTCCACCTAAGACCGGCCATACATGGGTCAAAATTCGACCGATTTTTCTCTCGAAAATAGGACCTAAGAATAACTGGCCGATTTTCGCTCTGTTAGTGGGTCAATGGCACCGGCCGATTTTTGTGGTTCCTCCCCTTTTTGGTGATCGGGCATGTTGGAAAATTTGTGAAAAACGACTGATTTTCGACTCAATGATGGTCAAATCGTACGATCGTTTTTTTTCCGAAAAGAATATGTGCATGAGCCGTGATCTGGAAGGAACAGAAGTTTTGCTTTTTATATTGGGAGAACTTTATGACTTGGTCAGCCGATTTTGGAAATCATTGATGTCACCATCGAATTACCATCGAGCTAACAACGTTTTCGATTTTTGGCCAAAAAATCATTCAGGATTCGAACCATGTATGACCTGCATAAGTCCTCATGCACACTTGACGTTTTTACAGCTGCTGTTTTTGACTTTTGATATTTTTTTCTACAGCTAGTAAACCCCCCAGCATGCTATCCTGTGTGTCCATGCACCAATAGATTGAAATCAAATGTTTTTTGGCGGGAAAAAAACCCCCAGGACTAGTGGGTTGCTAGAGGAGTTTTTTAGCTGTAAAAAACGCTCTAACGCACAAAAACGCAACAAAATTTGGTAAAACACCGCAAACTGGCATTTTTGGACTTTTTTTGACCACCAAAAAACACAAAAATTGCAAATGCGGGAAAACACCGCTAAACGCGGCAAAACGCAGCTGATAGCTAATGCAAAAATGCTAATGTTTTTAACGTGACTTTACACAGCTAATGTTACCAGCGTTATCAAAACATCCAGTGCGCTTGAGGACTTATGCTGCACTGCTCTTGAATTCAGAGCAGAGTTGCCACTATCATGTAGTCTGTGCTTGCTTTCATTTCAGTGGAATGTTGAAGGGCGACGTAGCAATCAACAAGCCTGTAGTTTGTCAATCAGCACCTATCCACGCCTAGTCCCTCCCACTGTTTCTGAATTGACAGCACTGTCTTTATGCTGAAACCCTCCCACTGTGAGCTGCAGCTCCTGGGATGGAGAGAGTGTGAGACAAAAACGAAGGAGGATTTGGCAAAGGAAGTTCTTTCTGCTTAACACACTAACTAGACTGTCATACACGAGTCTTAAGTTTTACTTTAAAGTGACAGTAAACCACCACAAAAGGAAAAAGTTATTATTATTATTATACAGGATTATATAGCGCCAACAGTTTGCGCAGCGTTTTACAATATAAGGGAGACAGTACAATTACAATACATTTCAGTACAGAAGGAATGTGAGGGTCCTGCTCGTGGAGCTTACAATCTAAAGGAATGGGGAGGTGATACAAAAGGTGATAACTGTGGGGGATGATCTGGTGGAGGTGATTCAAGTACAGTTCTTAGGTGGAGGTGGGGTAGGCTTCACCTGAAGAAGTGAGTTTTCAAAGATCACCTAAAGGCAGACAGGGTGGGGGCTGACTGGACATGCTGTGGTAAGAGGTTCCAGAGGATGGGAGAGGCTCTGGAGAAGTCCTGGAGGCGAGCGTAGCAGGAGGTGATGAGGGAGCTAGAGAGGAAGATATCATGGGAGGAGCGGAGTGGGCGATTTGGTTGATATCTGTGGATGAGGTTGGCAATGTAGCTAGGGGCAGTGTTGTGGATGGCTTTGTAAGCTGTGGTTAGTATTTTGAATTTTATATGCTGAGTTAGTGGAAGCCAGTGAAGGGATTGGCAGAGAGGGGCAGCAGTCGCTGATCGGTTGGTAAGGTGTATGAGTCTAGCAGCAGCATTCATAATAGATTGAAGGGGGGTATAGCCTGTGTAACAGTAGACCAGTGAGGAGGGAGTTGCAGTGGTCCCTGCAGGTTTAAGTCATAAGCCTCATGCACACTGGGTGTTTTAATAATGCCTGTAGCTGTATAAAGTCGCATTGAAAACGTGAGCTTTTCCACATTTTTTGCATTAGCGTTTAGCCACATTTTTCCACATTTAACCGTTTTTTTTCAACATTAGCGTTTTTTTACACAATACAAAAATAACTAAAGTTATGGCTCGAAAAACGCTGCTAAACGCCAGTTTGCCTCATTTCACTATATTTACCAGTGTTAGAACGTTTTTACAGCTAAAAGTCTGGAGTTTTTTCCAGACAAAAAATGCCCATGCCAAAAAATGCTGATTAAAGCTGTGCATGGACACACAGGATAACATGCTGGGGAGTTTACTAGCTGTAGAAAAAAATGTTATTGCACAATACATAGCACTGGAGCTCATTTTCTGTAATTTGTGTAGCTTGAGAAAGGGATGTTACTTTGGTTTGAAAGTGTTGCTTACAAATGATAGAATGATATTAGGTATAACAGTTGGACTGTTGGATTTTATATATATATATATATCGTGACAAAACCCAGCCATTTATTCTTAAAACATAATTTCTTGTTACATTGCTTCACATCATTTCCGTTCCGTACAGCAGTCGGATGTTAAACTTCGATCCATCGCTATTACAGTCAAATAAACTTCAGAACACTTTGCCCTAAAGTTGGCACTAACGTTTACAAACTCAGAATTATTTTTCACTGAAGTATGCGAACAGTCATTCATAAATCTGTACATGTATACCAAGATTTAGTCCTACAGATCACTCTATGCCTCTGTGTCTTACCTTTTGTGTGTGCATAAATACTGTATATATTGTATACACTGCCTTGAAAAAGTATTCATACCCCTTGAAATTTTCCACATTTTGTCATGCTACAACCAAAAATGTTAATGTATTTTATTGGGATTTTACATGATAGACCAACACAAAGTGGCACATAATTGTGAAGTGGAAGGAATATGATAAGTGTTTTTTTAATTTTTTTTTCCAAATAAATATCTGAAAAGTGCTGTGTACATTTGTATTCAGCCCCCCCCCCCCCCCCCGACTTTGAAGAACCACCTTTCGCTGCAAATTACAGCTGCAAGTATTTTTCCCCTGACCTATCTGGTGTGTTTCTTGCCCTTCATGATGCTATGTGTTCACTAATGTTCTCTAACAAACCTCTGAGGACTTCACAGAACAGCTGTATTTATACCGAGATTAACACACAGGTGGATTCTATTTGCTAATTAGGTGATTTCTGAAGGCAAACGGTTCCACTAGATTTTAGTTAGGGCTATTAGAGTAAAGGGGGCTGAATGAATGCATGCCACACTTTTTTCAGATATGTATTTGTAAAAAAACGTTGAAAACCATTTATCATTTTCCTTCCACTTCAAAATTATGTGCCATTTTGTTTTGGTCTGTCCCATAAAATCCCAATAAAATACATTTATGTTTTTGGTTGTAGCATGACAAAATGTGGAAAATTTCAAAGGGGTATGAATACTTTTTCAAGGCACTGTATACAATATATACAGTATTTATGCACATACAAAAGGTAAGACACAGAGGCATAGATTGATCTGTAGGACTAAATCTTGGTATACATATACAGATTTTTGAATGACTGTTCGCATACTTCAGTGAAAAATAATTCTGAGTTTGTAAAC